GATTCTGAAAATAAAACCGAAAATTCAAGCTGAAAAAGTGATAAAAGAAATTCAGACACTCTGGAGATTTAACCCTAATCGTTAGCATGAAAATCCAACGTGCAACCATTAACCATTCACTTTTTTACATCACTTCCTTTCACGACCGGAAGTAACAGCGATGCAAGATTTTCTCACGATTCAAATAAACTGATGACTGAATATCAGTCCTGAAAGTTTTAGTCCTCAGTCGTTTACTGTTGCCGAACAATATTGTGGGACTAAATTCTAATTTTGAGAACAGGTAAACACACAACCGGAAGTGAATTTTATAAAAATCTCTGACTGTTCTCTAGACATTTGCAGTATCTACAACATGCATCAAATCATTTCAGGTACTTCATTGATAAGGGGTATTTATGAGAAAGTTAAATATAAGAATAACGTAGTTTATCTCCTAAAACCGGAAGTTGACGTTTTTGTTTCCGGTGGAATCTAACGTATTTCAAAACAGCAAAAGAGATGCAATAAAGTCATGTAAGTTTTAATTTTAAAAAGAAAAGTTAAAATTTTTGATTTCTTTGATCACTTCCTGTGACAAGCGGAAGTGACGACTGACGCGTTTCACCTACCCCTCAACGTCCATTACTCTTAAAATTTTGGTGTTTTAATCTTTTACCTGTTTTTGAGATCTCGCTCAGACAACTTCTCATTTTGAGGACAGGAAAACACGCGACCGGAAGTGAATTTTCGAAAAAATATTTAAGGTTACTCTAGACATTTGCACTCTGAATACCACATTTAAAATTCATTTCAAATACTTTATCTATAAAGAATATTTACTGGAAATTAAAAGACTCAAATTATTTAGTTTTTCTCTTCTAACCGGAAGTTGTCGTTTTTGTTTCCGGTGGGACGAACATCTTTCGAATCTGCGAAAAAGATGCAATAAAGTGATGCAATTTATAATTAAAAAAAGAAAAGTTGAAATTTTCGTTTTCTTTGATCACTTCCTGTGACGACCGGAAGTGACGACTGACGCTCTTAACCCAAATGGTTTTGCCTACATCTTAAGGTCTGTTGCTCATAAAAGTTTGGTGTCTTAATCTCTTACCGTTTCTGAGATCTTGCTCACACAACTTCTCATTTTGAGGACAGGAAAACACGCGACCGGAAGTGAATTTTACAAAGATATTTGACGTTACTCTAGATATTTTTAGTCTGAATAACATATTTAAAATTCATTTCAAATACTTTATCTACAAAAGATATTAATGGGAAAGAAAAATACTCAAATTATGTCGTTTTTCTCTTATAACCGGAAGTTGACGTTTTTGTTACCGGTGGGACCAACATATTTCGAAACTACAAGAGATCCAATAATGTGATGTAAGTATTGATTTGAAAAAGGAAAGTTGAAATTTTAAGATTTCTTTGATCACTTCCGTAAGCGACCGGAAGTGCCGACGACGAACGAAAAGTACCGACCCGGCTAGTACCTATCATGAACTATAATTCCTGAAAGTTTGACATTGATATCTCTTGTCATTCTTGAGATTATCCGCGGACAAAATGTCATTTTGAAATCAGAAAATGGTCTGTAACTTGGCACCGGAAAGGAATTTCCAAAAAATCTCTCAGATAGATCAAGTTCATGTTACAGCACACTTTTCCTGAAAATTTCATGTAAATCCATCCAATAGTCTTTGAGAAATCGCGTGCACAAAATTAGAAAGTCAAAAAAATAAGAATAAGAATAATAATAATAAAAATGAGAAGGTCTTCCGTTATACTACTTCCTGTTTGCATGAACATGTCTTTTCCAACTTCGGTATTAGCCTTAAACTTATGTAGAAACAAATTAACTTAAAAAATTACTTTTCTTTTGCTTCATTTCCTGTCACGACCGGAAGTAATGAGAACACAGAATTTTTACACGATGCAAATGAACTGATGACTGACTATAAGTCCTGAAATTTTTAGACTTCAGTCTATTATTGTTGCCGAACAATTGTGAGAACAAATTCTAATTTTGAGGACGGGAAAACACACGACCGGAAGTGAACTGAATAAAAATCTCTGAATTTTCTCTTGACTTTTGCAGTATCTGCAGCATATGTAAAAAAAAACATTTCAAATACTTATCTATAAGTGATATTTATGAGAAAGTTAAACCACGAAATAATGTAGTTTATCTCTTAAAACCGGAAATTTAAAGTTTTTGTTTCAGGTGGAATCTAACATATTCCAAAACAGCGAAAGATAAGCAATAAAGTGGTGAAAGTTTTAATTTTAAAAAGAAAAGAGTTGAAATTTTTGATTTCTTCGATCACTTCCTGTGACGACCGGAAGTGACGGCTACGCTTTTAACCCTATGTGTTTTGCCTTCTCACCAAGGTTTATTACTCCTATAAGTTTGGTGTCTTACTCTCATGCCGTTTCTGAGATCTCGCTGAAATAACTTTTCATTTTGAGGACAAGAAAACACGCGACCGGAAGTGAATTTTACTAAGATATTTCACGTCACTCTAGACATCTGCAGTCTCAATAACATATATAAAAAACATTTAAAGAACTCTATCTATAAGCGATATGTATGGGAAAATTAAAAAACCCTATTTTGTAGTTTTTCTCTTACAACCGGAAGTTGTCATTTTTTGTTTCCGGTGGGACCAACACATATCGTAACTGTGAAAAAGATACAATTATATGATGCAAGTCTTATTCCAAAATAGAAAAATTGAAATTTTTGATTTCTTTGATCACTTCCTGTGACGACCGGAAGTGACGGTTGACGCTCTTAACCCAAATAGTTTTGTCTACTTTTCAAGGTCTAATACTCCTATAAGTTTGGTGTCTAAATCTCATACAGTTTCTGAGATCTCACTCGGAGTTTCTCATTTTGCGGACACTTAAACGCGCGACCGGAAGTAAAATTTTACAAAGATATTTGACGTTACTCTAGACATTTGCAGTCTTGATAACATATTCAAAAATCAGTTCAAATACGTTATCTATAAAAAATATTTATGGGAAAGTAAAATACTCAAATTATGCAGTTTTTCGCTTATAGCCGGAAGTTGACGTTTTTGTTTCCGGTGGGACCAACATATTTCGAATCTGCAAATTAGATGCAACAATGTGATGAAAGAAAAAAAAATCAAAAAAGAAAAGTTGAAAATTTCGATTTCTTTGATCACTTCCTGTGACGACCGGAAGTGACGGCTGACGCTCTTAACCCAAATGGTTTTGCCTACTCCTCAAGATCTATTAACCCTAGAAGTTTGGTGTCTTAATTATAATCTCTTACCGTTTCTGAGATATGACTGGGACAATTTTTTTTTGAAAAAAACGGAAATCGGACATATCTGACGACCGGAAGTGAATTTTGAAAAAATGAAAAAAACGCCTGGGGGTATTTTTATTTTCTATCATCCCTGAAAATTTCAAGAAAATCCGTCCAGCCATCTCTGAGAAATCGCCCCGAAAAGAAAAGGGGAAAAAAAAAAATAATAATAAAGAAGAAACAGTAGAATCACTATAAGGTCTTCCGTCTAAAACGGAAGACCTTAATAATAATAAGAAACAATAGAATCACTATAAGGTCTTCCGTGGAGACGGAAGACCTTAATAAGAAACAGTAGAATCACTATAGGTCTTCCATTGGAAACGGAAGACCTAATAATATACATTTCCTAAAAAGTACAAATTAGCCGTAGGGTAGGGTGGTGCATTAATTTCAAAATTTAAATTTTGATGGTCTTGTCACTCCACTGTTTCACTTATTGAGGTGAACATAATATTAGTGAATGGTGGGGTGGGGGGTGCAGGAGACCCTCCCAAACAATTTTTTTCTGAACTTAAATTTTTACTTTTAATTTAGACTAAAAATATTCATTGAAAGTGTAGTCCCCAACTAATGGACCTTAATCCCCCACCCCTAACCCTACCCCAACCCCAAAACAAAATTTGAAATTAAAAGAATTCTCATCTCGTAGGGGGGGGGGGGTAATAAAAGATTTTTTTCAGCTGTCGTTTTCCCCTGATAATGCCCCCCCCCCCTTCTAAATCTATCTTATAAAAGAGCCTGACATTATTTTCGTTAATTCATATCAACTAAAGCAGATTTTAAAAAAATTCAATAAATACAACAGGTAATGTTTATTTAACCCTGCTTCTCTCATTGCATTCTGAGGACTTCAACAAATGTAAACAAGTAAGATGGAATGAACTGGTTAATGAGTTCATTTCATACAATCATTGAATCATATATTAAAACAATTACTGCTGTTTTTCAGTCAATATGATGATTTAGCCACCTTCGATGTACAATATTCACCTCACCCTTCGGGCTCGTACATATATATAGAGAGAGAGAGAGAGAGAGCACTAAAAAACCAACAACCCTGTATATCCTAAGTGTCAGGTCAAGGACGGAAATTTATATAAAGCACTAAAAATGAGCAACGACACGAACAATTTTTATTGTTCGTGTTGTTGGTCATTTTTAGTGCTTTATATATATATATATATATATATATATATATATATATATATATATATATGACCCCCTTCCGAAGTGGCGGCCATTTTAGCAAATGAATGTTAAATCCCTGTAGACTTTGAATTTGCCACCGTGTCAATACACTGGTTGAACTCGAGGGTTCGGATAAATGCAGGAAGTTTGGAAAAAAATGATCTATCGATCGATCTTAGTTTGAAGGCCAAGGTATTTATACATTTTGAGATATGAGGCGAAAAGTGGGGTCCTTGGTACCGTGGGACAGACTATACATGTGTAAACATTAATAGACCCAAACCATGTTCAGACATGTTCTTTTTTTCCAAATACAGAAAGGCTTAGAAAAACACTGAAAATAAAATTTACTAATGACATGTATAAATATGAATCTCATTGATAGTCCAGATTTCTCACCAAAAAATCAATTTCTTATATTTTGTATCATAAATAATTGGACTTCTTTTTCTAAGGTTTTGCTCAGATTTAATAAAAAAAAAGATTTCAAATGATGCAACATTTTATTTCCTCTATGAAACATCACAACCAGGCTGACCAGAGTATATTTTTGCTGTACCCAGACACGAAAATAAAATCTTGTGGAAAATCAAATGTCTGACTTTATACTGGAAATCATTTTCATAGTTAAAAGAAAAATCCAAGATTTTGGCAGTACCCAAACAATATAATAATTTAACATAAATTTTACCATTCAGACAAGTGTGTACTTAATATTACTTGTTGCTAAAATATATTTGAAGAATAAAATTGATTAATATCACATGTTCTTCTTTATAAATGACTAAGGCATTTCTGATAAATGTAGCTGTTTACTTGTATTTTAAAAAAAAAATGTCAAATAAATATTTTTAAAAATATAGAAAAATACAATATTTGTACCTTGACTATTAATTACACAGTACTGTTCTCACATCGTACGGAATGTAAAATCTTTATGCAACTGAGTCTACACGCTTACATGAAATATGTACTACTTCCTATGATAGAATAAGGTGACATAAAAAGAAGAAACATTCAAGACACCTCATTATTTATCTTGCATATTAAATGGCATATGGATATTCTGCATATCTGAAAAATGACTGAATAATATCTGTAGCAAAAATCTGCATATTAAATAAGTAGGCCATGAATGAAATTTGCATATGCTAAGTAAACAATGATAGAATGATATCTGCATAATTAAGTTCTGGGTTTGGAATATTAAAAACATTCTTCTAATATTCCAGTGAGTGAAGCTCAATAAAAAAAAATCTGCCTTTTAAAAAATGAAACAGTTAAACCAAGTCCAAATCTAATGGAATGCAATGTTTTGTTCTAAAATTTTCTACCTTTGTAGACAATCTTTGTAAAAATAATTTTTTATACCACACAAAACAGGCTTATACTTTTTCACTGCCTTGTACATTTCCAGACTCTGTTTCTTCCCAAAGTTTTTCACCTTCCACAGAACAATTGTGAAATAAGAAATTATAGGATTTTGCCAATCTTGTCTTAGAAAACACAGAATTCTCAGTCTGATATGGCAACGAAGCAATCCTTTTAAAATATAAAATAATCCCAGATAAAAGTCTCTATAACTAGAGAAACAGTGATTTACATCAGACTTTTGCTGATCCTGTTTGTGACAGGGACTGAACTGAACGTTTCCCTGCCATGGAGGGGTAAATCGGGTCTCTATAGGCAAAGATAGGGTCCCCGTACTGAGGGGCAGGTCCTGGGGGAGGGTGAGGGTGGGGGTACTGTCTTAGCAGGGCAGGGGCACTTTCTGTGTCCTGCCAATGTTCTCTCGGGGTAAAAGGACGGGCTGGAGGGAGTCTGCGAGAATAAAATTCTTGTGTGTGCTGCTCAGACAAGTCACTATTTTGTCTTTGATGGAAGTGTTCAATTGCTTGTTGACGAGGAGGAATGTACTCATTACTGCGCTGTCGTTGATGAATGATGTTGTCATGGTAACTGTAGTTATGGTGATAAGATGAGGGCTCCTGATATGCTGGTCGACTATGAGGTCTAAAGGTTAAAAAAAAAAATGATATTGTACATTGTCAATTTTTTTATTCATTCAACAACAGATTAATTTTATTAAATCTAACTTGGAAAGGTAGCTAAAAATGCAAAACGCTAAAGTTATAAATTCTTACCTCTCAGGATAGGAAGGTCCTACATTCTGTGTTCTGTTACCCTGGTATCCATGGTAACTGTTGTCAGTGACAACAGAATTTGATGGATGCCTTGAATAGAGAATGTTTTCTGGTATTGCACTGTTCCCATATCGCTAAAATAAAAATCAAGAGCAGATTTTACATTTATAACTTTAGGAAGATTGGCAGAAAAATAAAAATTCATTTTCTTCTAATAATTATTAGTTTTATTTTGCAAATTTGTATAAAATACCTTCTTGTATGCCTTTATTTCTATTTAGAAAAAAGATCATACACTCAATTACAAAATTATAAAAATTAACAAATGCAATGGTTTTATATTTTTTAGTACAAGTTTTCACAGAGCTTAATTTACTTTTGATAGATATAATAAATAAGTACATAATCTTTTCTAAAGTTATATTGATATAATAATTTTTAATATCATTGTTTTACAATAAGGTTATAAAATTGTAATATATGTGTTTATGAAAATAGATTACATGGAATACACAGAGTTTGCTATGTATGTTTTAGTGAGATATATATGTACTATATACATTTATAGGGCAGAAATAATCTGTATGGGAAGCATATTTGGTAGAGTTAATGCTATTGCATACATGATTATACCGTGAAAACTGCCTAATCAAACACCCATGAAATCTGTTTCACTGTAAATTATGACCATTATTTTCATTTTTCTAGTTTCTTTTTTTTTTTTTTTTTTACATTTATTTCCCAGACCTATAATAACAAAGGAACTTTGGGCCATTTTTCTAGTTTCCATGTTCCTTACATTGTGCAATCCAACACCCTGTCTATCCCGACATATCTCCCAGTGCATGTAAGATTAGACAGGTTTCACTGTATATAGTATACTAGGTAAAGTTTGGGTAGATTTTAAGATTCACAATTTTACATAATATGTAATTAATTGTAAGTTATAATTAATAGCAATAAAAATGTATACATGTACATTGTTTTTACTTGAATCATGTTTTAAATATAAAATACCTGTATTGCAATGAAAATTGTCACTGTTTTATAAAATGATACTTATAAGATACAGATTCTAATGAATTCCAGAAACTATTTACAAAATGTTGTTGATCACTTCTGTTAAATAATTAAATCTTGGAAAAAATATCCCATCTTCAAAATGTCATTATCAAAAACTTAGTATAATATTGTCACTTTCTATAATGTCTTTTTTATTTCTGTTTTATATTTTTGTCTGGAAGGTTAATTATGATGTATTTCACAGGATTAAAAGCAATGAATAGGGGGAAAAAAGTCACTTCATTCTTGTGATATAAATGAAAAATTATGAAAACTTCTGACAGATGATTAAATATCCTGCTTTTGAATTTTTAATAAAATTCCTTAAATCCCTTACAGAAAAAAAGCCTTAATGATTTATTTTGTATTAAAAAACTGAGGAATGCTTTATATAATTTTTTTTTGCATACAAGAAACATCTTGTGCAATAGAGTTCAACAAATCATATGAATGAATTGAAAATGTTTAAAGATCTGTGGTACATATTGTCGTTTTGTACATATTGTCGTCGGCGACAATATGTACCTACCCTCACTGCACATACTGTCGTCCATCGGTACATATTGTCGCCGGCTGAAAAGTTACACATGTACATATTGTTGCTGGCGACATTATGTGCCTCACCCTCACTGTACATATTGTCGCCCCACATATAATGTTGCTTAAAGATTTCTTTTGTTGTTATGTAGTAATTTTGTGAACGTAATTGGTGTGTGAATTACACTGATGTGTCTCTTATGTTATTCCACGCAGCGTGTTGTGCCGGTACATTTTGTCGTCTTGTTCATATTGTCGCCGGCAACAATGTGTACCTACCCTCACTGCGCATTTTGTCGTCCATCAGAACATGTCGCAGGACAATGCATGGCAATGCTCCATGTAAATATCATTAATCATTGCTTTGCTCTTTTTGAGAAGATAATTTCCATATACATGATTGTATTCATATATAATTTAATTCTGGTTATAACACGGTATTTGATTGGATAAAAAATTTACTTTATATCGTATAAATTGGGTTGCCTACGTCACAATGACTTGTGTCAAAAACGTATCGATCCGCCTTACTTTACATTTAAATTTTGTACAACCTGAAGTCATTTTTTAAGGACAATAATCTTTTTTCTTACACTAAATGAATGAAAATAAAATTATTAGGAATGAATTTAATAGCTACCCAATTTATACGGTATAAAGTGGGTTGGAACAGTTAACGCTTTTATTTAAACCGCTTCGCGGTTTATAAAGCATAAACTGCCCCAACCCACTTTATACCGTATAAATTAGGTAGCTATTAAATCCATTCCTTAAGTAAAACTTTAATCGCCCATTGTGGCCCAATGTACCCTAGGCCCGGTTTGATTTGAAGATACTTGAATCTGTACTACCTGAAGATGCTTCCATTTAAACATCACTAATCACGGGCCTACTGCTGCTTCTCAGTGGCGGATCCAGAAATTTCCGAACGGAGGGGGTGGGGGTGCGCGGTTCAGTATTGTTTTTGAAAAGCAAAAAAGAAGTCATTTGTATGTAGAGGTGTGTTACTGTATATGTAAAATAAATTATGAAATTTTAGCTATAGACTAAATTGAGAGTATAATTATTATACAAGTTTTTACCGAAACCACAAAAAAATCAAACCGCCGTTGAGAAGGGGGTTGGGGGTTGGGGGGTTGCGCCGGTGCTTCATCTGTCTTTGGCTTTTTTAGAAGATATTCTGTATATATTCCTATGTATAACTTTGATTGCCCATTGTGGACTTATCCTACCCATGGGGTTGTGATTTGAACAAAATTAATTTTGTTTTTGTTTGTATGTATAATGTCCCTCTCGAGAATTTTTCATTCATATGGAGACGTGACCACTTGCCGGTGGAGGGCTGCAAATTTAGACCTATACTTGGCACACAGGGTCATTGAGGGATCTTTTACGTACCAGCACCTCAAAATTGAAAGTACGCTATGTAATGAAGCTTTCACATTAGTATCTTCTGACCCAGTAGTTCTTGGAAAGATTTTGAAAGATTTTTTTTTTCAAATATTCTATGAAAAACTTTGATCACCTTTTGTAGCCACACCCTTCCCCCTAGGGACATGATCTGAATTAAACTGAATCTACACTTCATAATGAACCTTTCACATAAGTTTCAACTTTTCTGACACATGCAGTGGTTCTTGTGAAGATTTTTAAAAGATGTCACTAAATTTTCTGAACTCCTTCCCTTGAAAGAGGACATGGCCCTTCATTTGAACAAACTTGAATCCCCTTTATCCAGGATGCTTTGTGACAAGTTTAGTTGAAATTGACCCAGTAGTTTTTGAGAAGAAGCTGAAATTGTGAAACGTTCACAGATGGACGGACGGTCAGACAAAATGTGATCAGAAGAGCTCACTTGAACTTCTAGTTCTGGTGATCTAAAAATTAACCCTAACACCAATGAAATCGGCACATGATTGTATATATAAGAATAATGCAAAAAATAATTTTCAAATAATCATTACTACTGAACAAAAAAAAAACAAAAAACTAATACATGTACATGTATTCAATCTCCATGCATATATTAAGAAAAAAGAATAGGCTGACTTATCATAAATCTGATGAATTACGGTATCTTGACATACATGTATCATAGTGATGTACGTCAATTCTGGACAAAATTTTTTGACCAAAAAGTTTTCTTCCTACAGTATTGCTAGTAATGCTGTCTGTCTCCTCCGTGCGTGTGTGTGTTTGTCAATCTCTTTTTCCTTTCTCAAGTAAAATATTCGTCAAAACAATATATCGACGACAATATATGCCGACCTTGACTGCACATATTGTCGCCGACGACAATATGTGCCGATGCTTGACTGTACATTTTGTCGTCCATTATGCAGGAGGAAAATAAGGCTCGTCTCGGTACATATTGTCGCCAGCGACAATATGTACCGATGGACGACAATGTGTGCAGTGAGGGTAGGTACATATTGTCGCCGACAACAATATGTACCGATGGACGACAATGTGTGCAGTGAGGGTAGGTACATATTGTCGCCGACGACAATATGTACCGTCACAAGGTCCCCCGTATTATTTCTAATAAAAACAGAAGTTTGTGCAGTTTGCAAAGGCCTGACCAGAGAGTAAAAATGTTCATCCCAGCATGAGAAGGGATCTCCTGAAGCTTTTTTTTCTACTGTGTCAGACATATACACCCTATACTGTGTAGCTCTTTACACATCATGATCTCTTAAAACTCTCCCAACCCAATCAATGCAACAAGCTTTTTTCTAATGGAAGCCACTTCAGCCATTTGTTAGAACTTTTCATTTATCCTGATGAAGGGACCCCACTCCCTTATCTTTCCCAAAAAACTTCAGAAACCTTATTCTAAGCAATTTCCAAAAGTTGGAAGAGTACATCAGTATTATCAATACAGTTTCCCTTGTATTGAAATTGCTTGTTATGAAATCTTAAACAGAATTGTCAAATCAAGGTATAGCAATTTAAATACAAGACATATAAACTGTATCACACTCCTGTCACCCCTTATACTTTACTCCGTCAATGAATGAAGTAGACTTTTATGGTGGGTTACAGAAAAGCTGTCTAACCTGGTTATTGCCATGCCATGGTAGCCCTACCCTTGTCTCCTCCTCCTGTATCTCTTGTTCGTATCGTTCCTCCGAGTCATCTAGCGGGTAATGTCCCTCCCGTTCCTGGTGACGACGCTGGTGTTCTCTCCTCAAATGTTGGATCCACTGGGCCCGTGACCAGGACTCTGGATCCTCCCCAGACCTTGCTAACTGAGGACCAGCATTTGTTAACTGGTTCTCAATGAACCGTGATGGGTTTTCAGTTGGATGGGGTGAGTTATTGGTGTACCTTGATGAATTGTCTGTTATGTGGGATGAAGTGAGTCTGTATGATTTATCCTGTAGTTGTGGTGAGTTCCGTGACAGCTGTGGTGTATTGTCAGAGTATCTTTGTTCAAGTCTCAGGAATTCGGCATTGCTCTGTTGATCTTGTAATTGTCGGACCTGTTCCTGAATTCTGGAGAAATCAAATATAAAATAATTGAAGTTACATTAAATACTATTAATTTATCTCTATCAATTTATAATAGCTTCTACTGGAACAGTAAAGCTCATAGAAACAACCTGAATTTTGAAACTATTTCTGAATACAATACCTTTTAAATATACTTTATGACTATCAAAAAAAGGTTAAGAGAAAATGATATTAAAATTAATTTTTTTTTGTGTGTAAAAAAATTGTTTAATTTTTTCATTTGCTTTGGCAGAATATTTTTTTCTCAATAATGTATTAGACTAAAGGGACTATTTTCACATTCCAGCATACTTTACAGTATGGCCATGGGGAGAGAGGGATAGGTATTTGGAGGTTTTAGATTAGGATACCAGTGACAGGATACTGTGAGATTGAACACATGTGGTACTAGGGAGGATGTAGACTTTGGATAAAAGGAAAAAGTGTTCTTCACACCAATTCTCAACACCATTAAACTGTGGATTCTTGGCAAAAACTCCCATCACAATAGAAATTCGATATCGCAAACACTGATATATTAAATACCATAGATATGTTGAAGTGTTTTGGAAGTCCCAACCACTCATTCTTTTAGTATTTTACCCTGATATCTCAAATCTTTGCATATTTTGAAATTTTTTCAAAGTCCCATCAAGTTCAAGATAACAAGATTTGACTGTATATGAAAAATTGGTTATATCTTCATTGTAACTTAAGAAAGGAAATTTAAAAGTAAAACTTTGGAAATACTCTGAGTCTTAACTTCATCAGAACAACTAGGCAACAAATCCAAATTTATCTTACATTTACATGTTTAGGAAACTCTATTGTTATTCTTCAGAGTAAGATATTAAGATATAAGATTTTTTTCTAAATAAGAGATAATTTATATCAAACGTTAATGCAACTGAAATAAATTCTGGTGATCTGAGAAAACATTTAAACAAGGACACAGAATAATTTTTTCTTGGAAAGGGAAAGGATATCATTCCCTTGAATAATATGCACATCTCCAATCTATTGCTACTTACGTACTCAACAGGTTTAAATTAGCCTTCTGGTTTTGATAAATTGAAAACATTGGCCTTTGACAGACGTACATACAGACAAGCCAACTGTATAAGCAAACTATGGCCTCATATGAATGTTTGCTTGAAAGTCTGACTCAAGTTACTTATAATTTCAGACAGTGCACTTGAAATATGCTTCAATAGATACCAACACTTCACTCCAGTGTCTATTAATGTGTATGTTATGAAGAGCTATTTCCTTGTCAAGTGCGGGTCATGACTTTTCTTTCTGATAAATGAAAACTGAGAGAATGTTTACCTTTCATATTCAGTTTCCTCAAACAACTCCTTAAAACTGAAATCAGTTTTACAAGATGAAAATTTTTCATAAAGTATAAACACTTTGTTTTCATTAATTTATCTCAGAATTATTTTTCTTTGTTGAAGTACCGTATATACTCGCCTATAAGTCGGTCCGCCTAAAAGTCGGTTGTATTTTTTAAGCTTACATTAAATGGATTGATCTGCTATGATACCAATATTTTTTATAACTTGCCTATAAGTCGGGCAAGGGTTTTTGGACCAAAGTTTAACTCCCAAAAAACCGACTTATAGGCGAGTATATACGGTAACCTTTCAGAATCCAAGTTTAGCTAGTTTTTTTCCCCTCAATGTTATTTTTTTTAACCATCAAATTCTGGATAAAATGATAACTATGAAAAACATTTATCTGTATTTTAAACCAATTTGAAGTCCTTAAACTTCACCCTATTTTTAAACACCCTGAAAATCCACCCTATTTCTAAAGTTTACCTGTCTTATCTAAATCTCTATTCAATTCCTCTAACTCTACCCCTAAACACTCCTGACAATCCACCCATTTCTAGTTTACCTGTCTTCCCTAGAGTCTGTTGACTTTGATCTCTCTTCTGACCCCGTCTGTCTTTCCTCCTGTGTTTTTGCCTCCTCCTTTTTGCTTTTGTTGCTCCTCCTACAATAAAACCAATCTGTATCTTAAATCCATAACCACGTAACATGAAATCAAATCTACTTCTGATTTTTTTTCCACTCACTGATTATCTTATCAAATTTTCTAGTAAGAAACATTTTCAACTTAACTATATATCTACATGATATATGCTCTGGACCCCCATTCCATACCCCAGTAAACCTCTAAATATTCCCCCTGAGTCCCCATTCCATACCTCAGTAAACCTCTAAATATTCCCCCTGAGTCCCCATTCCATACCTCAGTAAACCTCTAAATATTCCCCCTGAGTCCCCATTCCATACCTCAGTAAACCTCTAAATATTCCCCCTGAGTCCCCATTCCATATCTCAGTAAATCTTCAAATATTCCCCTTGGACCCCCATTCCATACTTCAGTAACCCATTAAATATTCCCCTTACATTCCCATCCTCCTGGGTCTCCATTCCATACCTCAGTAAACCTTTAAATATTCCCCCTGGGTCCCCATTCCATACCTTAGTAAACTTTTAAATATTCCCCCAGGGTCCCCATTCCATACCTCAGTAAACCTTTAAATATTCCCCCTGGGTCCCCATCCCCCTGGGTCCCCATTCCATACCTCAGTAAACTTTTAAATATTCCCCCTGGGTCCCCATTCCATACTTCAGTAAACCTTTAAATATTCCTCCTGGGTCCCCATTCCATACCTCAGTAAACCTTTAAATATTCCCCCTGGACCCTTCTTTTCCTTGGTGGGTTTCTTCTTGGCTTTTCTGGGGTCCTCTGGCTCACTGCTCATGGAGGAATGTCCCGAGGTTGTGACCCCTCCCTGTGTGACCGACCCTCCCTCACTGCTCTCCTCTTCCACTGTAACCATAGCAACAAATCAAGGTTATCATGGAAATACGGAATTGTAACTATATAAATATGGAAGCTTTAAAACAGGCAAATCTACATTACCACAAGTTAAGCGAATCAATGCATAATCATACAAGAAATCAATGCTATCTAAATTCTAACAATTGAATGACCTATTCCTGAGATGTGCATTGCAATGTACGTATGTACAAATATTAAATACTTGGTTTTTTTTTAATTTTACGAGGGTTTTTGACAAATTCCTCCATTTATAAACAGGTCTGCAGATTACATGTACACATATTTTTTTGTATAACAAATATGGTACAAGTAAAAATTAAGATATAAATCATAAATCATGATTTATGTTTGGATTATTTCCTGTGTACATGCAGATTAATGTCTAGATTATCTATGAATAAAACGTTCATTCCAACATACAAGATATATTTGCTGCAAAAAAAAAAACTGGTTTGCCTGTCAAAAATATAATTTGGTACAACCTTAATGAAAGAAAAAGTGAGCAAGCTCACATACCCCACGCTCCCCCAAAACTCGACAATGCAACACGCAATGAATGGCACAGTGCATTTTAAATACACAGTATAATTCATGAATTTGTTCATATACTGTACTTATGAAATTATTTAAGGCAAAGCACCAATTTGATTGGGGGGGGGGAGGGAAGAACTATCCGAGGTTTTGTGTGTGTGTTAAATCATTAATATTTTGATCTCAAAATCAATAGGGGTCTTTTAAGGTCATAAAATATCTCACATAAAGTTTCATTACAAAAGCTGATTCCAGTGGATTTCCTTATTACCTAGTTGGAAAGTTTCTTCAATAATAGGCATTAAAACTCTTCAGGCAAAAATAATGGAATCGGAATTTCCTGGTAATATGCACATCTACACACTGTGTACTAAATATCTGCAAAGTTTGACCAAATTCTGTGCAGCGGTTTAAGAGGAGTTGCACTGACAAACTGTTCATCTCTATATTCAAGATATGGCCAAAAATCTAAGTTGAAAAGTGCCGAAATTCCCAGAAAAATAAAGGAATCGGATTTTCCTGGTAATATGCACATCTATACACTGTGTACTAACTATCTGCAAAGTTTGACCAAATTCTGTGCAGCGGTTTAAGAGGAGTTGCGCTGAAAAAGTGTTCATCTTTATATTCAAGATATGGCCAAAAATCTAAGTTGAAAAGTGCCGAAATTCCCAGAAAAATTACGGAATAGGAATTTCCTAATAATATGCACATCTACACACTGTGTACTAAATATCTGCAAAGTTTGACCAAATTCTGTGCAGCGGTTTAAGAGGAGTTGCGCTGACAAACTGTTCATCTCTATATTCAATATATGGCCAAAAATCTAAGTTGAAAAGTGCCGAAATTCCCAGAAAAATTATGGAATAGGAATTTCCTGATAATATGCACATCTACACACTGTGTTCTAAATATCTGCAAAGTTTGATCAAATTCTGTGCAGCAGTTTAAGAGGAGTTGCGCTGACAAACTGTTCATCTCTATATTCAATATATGGCCAAAAATCTAAGTTGAAAAGTGCCGAAATTCCAAGAAAAAAATAAAGGAATCGGAATTTCCTGGTAATATGCACATCTACACATTGTGTCCTAAATATCTGCAAAGTTTGACGAAATTCTGTGCAGCGGTTTATGAGGAGTTGCGCTGACAAAAAAACAGGACTGACGGACTGACTGACACACTGACTGACTGACTGACACACTGACTGACTGACTGACTGACGGACGGGTCAAAAACATTATACCTCACGCAACTTGTTGCGTGGGGTATAATAAAAGATTGAAATCACACAAACCTAGATAAATCACTAAATCAAACAGATTCTGCCATTATTTTGAAAAAATCTTATTGTAAATAGTGCATGATAAGCAAGTTTACTAAATGAAAAGCAAAATTAAGTGTGATAATACTCCCCTAAAATTTTATTACATGCACACACTTGGTCTAATATTAACATTACAAAACTAATCAATTTTTGTTTAATAGGATCACATTTAATCATGAAATTCTGTAGATGTACTTTTTTCCCACACGGGATCTATTATGCTATATACATGGTCTAAGATTTTCAGTGGAAATTTGTCAACGTGTTCTCGAATTGAATTTAAGACATATGGTGGCAAATAAAAGAAATCCAATTAATTTTCTATCGGGGATTACACAAAAATTGTGATTCCATTGAATTATGACCCTGTGGAAAAAAGTATGTTTAAAGTATAATGAAAATCTTAATAATTCATTAGGTATAAAGGCTCTCTAATGAAAGACTCCACTTAGGGAGGAATGCCATAAGAAACACCAGGCCAGATCTACATGTATCTACTTTAAAACACTATTTACTCCATGTGTTTAGAGGAAAGTTATCTATTAAAACATTTAATTTCTAGTCAAACTGTATCTACTTACCAAATAAAAAATATCAAGTACTAAACATCTTACGCTTCATATTGAATATTACACCTCTTTCTTGCAGATTTTTGAAAAATTTCTATTTAATCAAATATTGTTCCATGCATAAAAATATTTTATATTCTTGATTTAAATATAAAACACAGAAGATATTATGGACACTGAACCTAGAAAGAAGATTAAAATCAGAATGATCAACCCCACTTATGGGACACATGCACAGCAGTGCAGACAAAGGATACACAGAAGTTGATAAGGAGTACTGTATCATATTCTGTAACAATATGATGTCAAAATTAACGACCATGACAACAACCAAACAGCAAACACGTGTTACAAAGCAGTACGATTTCTACAGCAACGTACAGAAGTCCACAAACAAAAACAAGATCGACTACAGCAAAAAGACATCTAGGCACAAATGAGGTACTAAAACAAAACTGAAAGTGAAACAAACTGAAAATGAAACAGACAACAATAACATACTGAGTTACTAAAACAAAACTGAAAGTGAAACAAACTGAAAATGAAAGACAACAATAACATACTGAGTTACTAAAACAAAACTGAAAGTGAAACAAACTGAAAATGAAACAGACAACAACAACATATTGAGTTACTGAGACAGAACTGAAAACAAAACAAAGAACATTAAAGCATGAATGTATAACTTCAACAGACAACAACAACATATGTCAGGACAAACAAAGAACACTAAAGCATGTGTGTATAACTTCAACAGACAACAACAACATATGTCAGGACAAACAAAGAACACTAAAGCATGTATGTATAACTTCAACAGACAACAACAACATATGTCAGGACAAACAAATAACACATCAAGCATGTATGTATACTTCACCAGACAACAACAACATAAGTCAGGACAAACAAAGAACACATCAAGCATGTATGTACACTTCAACAGACAACAACAACATAAGTCAGGACAAACAAAGAACACATCAAGCATGTATGTACACTTCAACAGACAACAACAACATATGTCAGGACAAACAAAGAACACATCAAGCATGTATGTACACTTCAACAGACAACAACAACATTTGTCAGGACAAACAAAGAACACATAAAGCATGTATGTATAACTTAAACAGACAACAACAACATATGTCAGGACAAACACAGAACACTAAAGCATGTATGTATAACTTCAACAGACAACAACAACATATGTCAGGACAAACACAGAACACTTAAGCATGTATGTATAACTTAAACAGACAACAACAACATATGTCAGGACAAACACAGAACACTAAAGCATGTATGTATAACTTAAACAGACAACAACAACATATGTCAGGACAAATGATATATAAGTAAAAGAAGTAACAATAACAACAATGAAAACAGATGTTCATGTATAAGAATGTATATAGATATACATCGAAAGACATGACAATGACCATATAAGTCAGGACAAATGATTTCTACCAGCACACTGTAGAAACAACCAAAAACGCACAATCATATTTAAGCATGTATACAAAACTTGAACAACATTAAGGCATGCGTGATCAAGCAGAGGTATCTGATGAGACTGTAGCTCTACCAGGGCTCGACATTAACTTTTTTCCCTACTTGTCCATTCGGACAAGTGACCAATTCATGCAAGACATTTACTTGTCCGAACTTCAACTTAACTTGTCCGAAAATTTTTCAATAAAGATCTAAATTAATACTCTCAACTTGAAAACCAGTGTTTGAAACTCACTGTAAAATTAGTCAGACATGCAGGGTTGACTGCTAGTAGAAGTTGTCAGCCCTTCCAAAGATCTACTTGCCCGAGAAAAAAATTGTCTTTTATAAATTTTTTTTAACGATAATGTGACTGGAACCAGGTCACCATAACTTCAAACCAGAATCTATAGATTGATGAATTCTTCCTAGCTTGTTACACTTTGCTACCGATACTATTACTTGATATGAAAAAGATTTATCAAATATATGAATTTTAATTATCGAAAATTTTAACACGTCCATCCGGGTGTCAGTACATGCAAATTTGTTCGCCCGCTGCAAAATTTGTGCGTCTCGGGCGGTCGGGCCCACGGTTATTTCAAACACTGTTGAAAACTAAAATAAAGTCCATTACACATGACATGTGCTTGATTTATTCGTGATGTTATTGATAAATACAACAAACACATAAAACAAAATTTTATCTGACAACAACAAGTGAACCTGTCAACATCAAACAGAATCCAAATTTTGTTAAGTTGGTAAGTTAAATGCCTTTTCAGTAGTATGCAATTAGTGAACTTCGATCCCGATCGAATGTGAATCGAAGCTCGGTTTTTATGTACAGCTTCCGTCTTGAAACTAACGATTAACTTTCAACAGTCGTTTTTTTTTATTATTTAGAGACTCCTTTACATTAAAATGCACTTGTGCAATCGGACAAGTGCCCAGCAATTTTCACTTGTCCATAATTTTTTTTCACTGGTACCGGACATGCGGACAAGCATTAATGTCGAGCCCTGTCTACTGGTTTGTATTTGTAATAAATAAAGAAAAAAAATGATAAAGGTAGTACCTGGACTCTTAATAATATTTTTTCAGTTTTAGATTTACAGAATTATGATGTTTACTAAAATTCTTCAAATTTTTTTTTATCTGGCATCAAATCAAAACTGTTGGCAGAGCAAAATTTTGAAACATTTTCACACATTCTCTTTTTTAGTAGTTATGGCAGCACATTTAAATATAATTATGAGTTTTGATTTAGTCTTCTGCTGTTCCAAGTTTCCTTGAAATAAATTTAAATTGTAGAAGGCGTTCTATATTGAAAGAATTTTATACATAATTTTAATTTTTAATAAGTAGCCATTGTAATATTTATTCAAGGAAAGTAAAAAACGTCAAACACAACATTGTGAACATTTGGTGTACAAAGTAGACATCAATTCAAAGTTTTATTGAAATCAGACCAAAAATGTAGAAGTAGCATTTTGAAAGAACTCAACATAATTATTCTTTTTGTTGGAAATCATTGAAACATTATTTATCAAAATTACAACCCAATATCATATTGGTGTAGTATAACTGCATTCCAAGTTTCAATTAAATCAGAAAAGAACTGTAGATCGTATAAGGTTTTCAAAGATTTTTCACAGAAATCTCTATTTTTAAAATCTTTCTGCACATTTGATTGGTGTATACTAACCGTCTTCCAAGTTTTATTGAAACTGGATCAAAACTGTAAGAAGAGTATCAGTTAGACAACAGTCACTTTACCATTGCATAAGCTTTATTGGTCTTCAACCAGTAGAGCTAGAAATAGAAGACAGCAGAACGCAGACTGGTGTTGAAAAGTGCTATAATCTAGAGAAAATAATCAGTGGATCTGAAGTCTTCATGCCTCCTTCCATGTGAAGAAAAAAAACAACAGAATTCACATGCAATAAACTGAAGTGAAGTTAAACAATCAATTTAGTCCATGCTGTGGCCCATGACTACCACATCCTCCCTGCCAATTACAGCCTCGGAAATCCAGCTCAAATCCACGATAACCACATGAGGAATTTAATGTCCTTTAGAGTAGCTGCTACTACATGTTCTATTTTGCTCCATCTTTGACTTCAAACTTTTAGATGTCAGACTTGTATGTGAAGGTATATGTGCACTTGGTTTGAGCTTAAACATGATCTGTGTCTGGTCTATCAACATGATATAAAGAGATATGCCAATCTGTGCCTAGTTTTTCAACATGATATGCAGAAATGAGTCAAACTGCCTGATCTATCAATACTTTTGATGGTTTGTTGTATTTGTATCTGGTTTATCATAACCATAAACTGTGAGGAATTTTTCAAATTCCAAAATAATTCAAAGAAAATTAAAAAGTATTATGCAATGCAGCGTACATAATTTCCAGAGTAAATATGATTTTTTTTTATTCAAAATAAACTTAAAAGATATTTTCATTTAAGCATTGAAATTCCCAGACTGTTTTTTCCAAACCAAAGATTCTGAATAAATATGGTACATTTATCTGTCCTGCTTAATGTTATTAAATAAATAACTTACTAAAAAAATGTTATTAGAATTCTAAACAATTTCAAGCATATATCATTATAACTACTAAATCATTTGCATGTTTTCATTCTTAGAAGCGATAAATAGGTGGTGCTAGGTTAGCTGGTTAGAGAATCTGATTGGCTGAAGGTTTGGTTGTCATGGTGACCATTATTAAACTGGTACCCTGTTCTCCAACAGTGAAGCCCCCACTGGTTTCCAGATTTCCATCCTGCATTTCATTGTGGTCTTCTATGACACAAGAAGATTTTTGAAATGAATTTCAGGGAAAACAATCTTATACATATAAATTCATATATATATTATAAATATGTTTTTGATTTTTTGAGATGAAATTAAATCAGCAACTGATAAGCAAGAACAGCAAGCAACAATACATATACTAAGCACATAACAAGATTGATTCCCATGAGATGAAGAAGAGAGCCTTTATGAAATCAGAATAGAGGGGTTTATACCAATTTTACCATTTACGAGGTCAAAGGTCACAGTCAACTTTTAAATCCCATAGTTATTTGAAATACATAAAACTGATTTACTTAGCAAAGGAGATAAGTTCTTTTATTTTGAAAAAATAAACTCTGAGATGGTCCCTTAAATATAGACTATAATATATAATGGATTTTAAAAGTACCCTCCCTTTACTTACGTGGATCCATGGTACTAAGTTCCTGAGGGACCGGGTCGTATGATCGATCGACTGCAGCCCTGAAGCTGAGATTACAGCCCCTCCCTCGTCCAAGCTTGACCCCACGATGGGAATCCTCCTGACTCTCGTGGGAGGCATCTAGACTCTCCCTACTCTCGTCCGTGTCCCCAGTGGTGACCTGAGCCAGATTCTCCAAGGAGCTGAATCGTTTAAGGTTGGAATGTGGCAGATCAAGGGGTTTGTCCACTGTGGGTAAAACAATTATTTAAATCAAAAAACACAGTGCTGTCATGTGACGATTATTGCAGTTCATTTGTTATTGAGAGGTTATTGTATTCCATGCATGATACATCTTTCAGAATAATTATTATAAAGAAATGGAAAGTGAGGATTTTATTTCTTCAAGGTCTGCTACCAAACTTTTTGTAAGTCAAAATGTTTGTAAGAGAATGTGTATATAAATCTCAAGTATACTTTCTTTTTATTCTAAAATTAACACCATAGAAATTAATTTTTGTTTATTTTTATTTCCCCAGTAATATCTACACAGAGAGAAAATTAAGAAAGTGAGAGATCTGTATGAATATGTCCAAAAAAGACAGCAGCCTGCTGTTTATTCTCATCTAAAACTGAATTATGAGAATTACATGTAGCTATAAGATTCAATGTCCAAAATTTAAAGGATTTCGCTGAGCAAATTCATCAAGTATATCTGTTAATTGTCAATTATCATGGTAATTGATTGTTACATTATTCAGTAGACTCTATTATACAATCATTACTAACAAACAAATCAGATAGATATATGCTAATTAAATTAAGACTCGTTAGTTGGTTAGTTTATGCTTTAGTTGTTGATTGATTAGCAAAGTGTTATTTCACATAAATAACAGTGTTATTTCATACAGATTTAATTAGCGAAGTGTTTTTCATACAGATTTAGCATGTTTTTTCACATTGCTTTCATCTAAGTTTCCAATGCATTACCAGAGTATAACTATCTGAATACGGTCATGCTTATACTGTACATGTACATAAATTTGCATATTCAAAATTTAACGCAATCTCTTGGTATGGAGTTGTTGGCGTAATCATGAATTAGCGCTACAAATGTCCGCACCATGTATTGTATTTATAAATAATTTCTAAGTGGTATTCATAAATTAGCGCATCGTTATCAGCACCAAAGCCGCTAAATTATGAAGCCCGCTTTTTTAAGTACACATACAGTACTTTGTTTCTAATGAATTGATCATTGATTTATTCATACAGTATATCTCATACTTTTCGATTTTAGTAAAAGAATTACTATGAAAATACATTTATGTCTAAAAACATGATTTGTTCAACTCAGCCTAATCTATTAACTTGATTACTCAGTTCAAACACTATTAAAATATTCTTAAATAATTTCACTAATTATAATCTTTTATTCAATCTTTTTTATACAATCATGTATTTTACCATGTCTATTGACTGAAGTCTACAGTATTTGATACTTAGATTTTGTCACACATGACCACATTTACTGTTAAGGGGGTCATTTTTACCACACAGAATAATATATTAGACATGAGAAGTATGTTACTATAATACACAGGGGGGTATACAGTCATCACCAAAGACCTGTGACCTAAATTCTGTCAAAACTTAATGAAATCCTCACATTTTCACAACCCTTAAGAACAGTGTTATTATTAAAGAATAGTTTCAGTACTGCAGGACAGTTTTATATTTTAGAAAAGTTCAAGATACCACTGAGTTTTATCATAATTTAGGAAGGTTTAATATTACTTAGGGGAAGTTCCTAAATTGTATACTTTTGAATAATTAATCATATATCAAAAATATTTAATCATCTGTTGGGATAGCATTTTGAAAATTTTTTGATAGTCTGTTGTTAGTAATACAGAGTTTTTTGGGTTTTTTTATCCTCTATAAAAGTTTTCTAATCCTTTTGGAAAATGTATTATTAATAGTAATAAATATAATATGCATCTTTATCTAAAATCTGCAGAATAGATATCTGATCCAACAGAACAGTCACCTGCTAAAAAGTCTTCTTTTTTCTTTTTTCTTTTTTTTACATCAAGACAGAAATATTAAGACATAAATACAAAGGCTGAATAATATCTATGGTATTCAGTTCAATAACCCACTTCAAGGTAAATGTCATTAAATATTTTGACCTTTTCTGCATTTCAAATCATTTTTTTTAGTGTTTTCTATGCCAATCTTTTAGCTGATTTTATGGATAGTCCTGGAAAATAGTTCCCCTATAACAATTCTGCATGTAATTCCTGTAGAGAAAGCTCAACAAAATATTTTAAAATGTCAGACACTATAATAACACACAGCTTCTTTGGTGATAACTGTTAAGTAGGAGAGGATACATACTAATACGCTGGCCATGCTTTGGTAAGGGAGGTAAGCGTGAGGCTCGAGGTCGACTTCGGGAATTTCGGCTCAATAGAGACTCAGCTGACCCGACCCGCTTCAGACTTCCTGTACCTGATGCACCACCTACAGTTATAGTTCTAAATTATACTGGAGGATGCAAACACATTTTAGTCTGAGACTTTTCCTAAAAAAAATCTTTTCAGGTAGGATCCTTCAATTTGTACCTTCTATATCACTGTTGAGTGATCAATCTGATTCAAATGAGGTGTTTGTTAAGCTTTTATTTCCTAGGTTCTATGCTACACTTTATTGTGTAGTATATAGAAAATGAACCCTACCAAAAGTAGCTGAATTATGACCTTTAGGAAGACAACATTTACAGGGCTTTAGGGGGATAATGTTCCATTTCAGGAAACCATTAACTTGGACCATGCTGAATGTGAATGCAGTCACTTGCTACATACAGACAAATAAAGCCAGTAACACAACTGAATAACAAACCTTATCTTATAAATAAGCTTTCATTTTTATCAACCACCATTTTTTCTTTATCTCTTAAATAAAAACTCACTTACAAATTTATAAAATTGTGAATGTAGTAAAAGTTCCATTGTGCGTTTGTGCAAGATTAAATAATTTAAATTGATATACTTTGTAATATACAATGTCATGTAAGTAAATGGTATTCTACAAACTGCATCTGGTATATCAACTGTGCAGCAAGTTATTATAATTATATGCAATGCTGTATCACTTGTTTAATAATACAATATCTTTATAAACGAAAATCTCGTCAACACTGCATGGGAATAGTGCATCTGAATGTAATCAATTATGAGGAATTTCTGAATTCACATAAAACCAGATTTAGCCTAGCTTGTTCACCTGAAAGTCTTTGTTAGTAATATCCCTGGTTTCAAAAGCTTACATAGTGTAACCACCCTCTTGTAAATCAGTGAAATATTAGTACTAAATATATCCATAAGTAAATACTGATTTACTTCTAATTCTTGTTATTCTATGAGTTCATTGAGTTGTCTTTCTTTATGAGGATAATGATGTTTTTTTTTCTTTCTTTCCAAAAAGTCACACATGAAATTATCATGCTGACTTAGGTTTTTCCATACATTCTTAGTCCATTATTTTCACACTCATTTCTGTTTGATCATAACAAGGAGCACACAATGGGTGTGTCCAGTACACAGGGGATGCTTACTCTTCCTTGGCACCTGATCCCACCTCTGATGTTTTTAGAGGTCCTGTTTTCTCTGCTCCCAATTAGTATTTGTATTGTTCCAATGGACTTTTGAGCTTGATTACTGTTCATTATCTTATTTCACTCTCGGAGTCTCCTTATCAAAATAAGGTCAGGATATACCCTTAGGTCACATGCAACATTTGACATCCTCAAATTGAATTTTCTAAAGTTTTTTTCATTTTAAAGTTGTGGTTCTTACAATACTTTAATGTTTTTGTACTCTGTGACCTTGACTTTAATTTTTCCAAATGACCTTGATATGAGATAAAGACACACCTCTGCACATGGTCACAATTTAACATTGGATCAGGTATAAGCTTTCAAAGCTTCTCAGCTTCAAAATTATCTCAAGAGAAGAACATTATTCTTCTCATTCCTTTCACAGAAGTTATGGATATTGAAACCATAAGAAAGCCAATACTTTTTTCAAAATTTTGACAATACAATCTTAAAATACCAAGAGCACAAGTTCAGATTGTACACAATTTGAAAAAAAAATATTGACAGGTTTTAGAGATAATCTAAGCATAAAAAAATTAAAAAAGACAGATATATACTATTAATACCAGTATAACTTCCAAATTTTACTTGGGGGAATGGGGGCATTATAAATCCAGGTACACCACATGAAATGCCACTTTTCCAAGCACTTGACTAATAAATATGATTTCCAACGTACAAAATATTCTGTGCTGTATGCTGTAGTGCCCAATAGCTGTTTCAAAGCAGAATCTTGTTTTAAAGAGGTTCTTAATTTAATATTGCTGCTCATCATAGAAACTTGATGTTTAAAAGTAGCATTTAAAGCTAAAGATAAAAAAGAATTTAAGATTTTGTTTAATTTTGATGATAAAAATGAGTTATAAAAAATGCCCATGGGTCACAATGCTCACCTGAGGCACCATTTGTTTGAGATACCTCAACCCTGCCTGACCACCACATTTTTCTTAAGGGTCATCAACCCAGGCTTTTCTATTACACCCCTTATGGCAATCATTAATTTAAAGTACATGCTTTCAACAACTTACAGTGATTTTCTCTTTGATATCTAGAACAACATTGTTTTCCATTGTGGTTAACCCTATTACTTGAAAAAAAGATCTACATAATATGGGATAAATACTCCTTACTTAATTACATGTACATATGGTCCTCACTTTTTTCCTATAACCTACTACTGTGACCTTACCGTAGTTCGGGGAGGGAGGGGGGGGGGGCTGATTTCTCAGAATCTTTACTTTGTAAGGAATATTTATTGTACATATCAGTATATGACTATATATGGTCCTGTGGTACTTGTGGCAAAGATCTTTAAAAATTTTTCCCATACATAAGCTTCTGACCCCTTTTTGTAGTCCATTCAAGGCCTGAAGGGCTATGATTTGAACAAATTTGAACCTAGTACACTATGTAAACTTAAGAAATTTTCATGTAAATTTGATCTCTTCTGGCATCTTTTTTCTTGAAGATTTTCAAAAGATCACTATTTCCTAATAATCTTCCCTTAGACGGGTCTTTGACTTCACTTGAACAAATGAATCTCCATTACCCATTAATGCTTTGTGCCAAGTTTGGTTGAAATTGGTCCCTCGGTTCTTGAGACATCAAGATGTCTCAGATGTGAAGAAAAGTTAACAGACAACAGATGGACAAAATGTTGATCAAAAAACTCACTCCAGCCTTTGGTGAGCTAATAATGATCCTTTCATTAAATTGCAGAGACAGATATGTTAAAAAAATAAATTTCTAAATTGTTTGAAAGAGGATAAAGATTTTTGTTAAAAATTAATCATAAATTTCAGGAGTGTTACAGTCTCTTCCAGTGTCATCTATTTTGCTTGGCAAAATAAATGCAATAGCCCTTTTGTTATTTGAACAGTTTTGAAAGCAGAAGATGGCCCTTTATTTTACCAAAAAAAAATTCAGTCTAAATTATTGTGGAAAAATGGAAATGCTCATAGATCCCAGTAGATTAACAAGATTCTTATGCTTGAGACAGAATGTTTTACCCGTGACGTGAAATGATGCAGCACGTCTATCATGACCTGTAAATCAATCAGGATTGTTATGAACACACCATACAACAACACTGGTTTTATCTTTCACTTCCTTTTGGCTCCTAATTTGGATTTTGCAAGTATCAAGTTTGGTTCTAATCAAAGTAAAAATTTAAAGTGAACCAGATACTTCATAAAGAATTTGCAGAGCAATTTTTTTCCTATGAAAAATAAGCCTTTCAAAGTCTCAAATCCTTAAGAGAAGAAATGAAATCTTCCTATTGAAAATGTTTTCTGATAAAAGAATGTAATTGAGATTCATAAAATGACTGGTTTACATATGCCAATAGTTGACACTAAAACTGACCTTTTTGTCGGCTGGATTTGACACGTTGGTAAACTTCACTTCGACTCGGGTCAATATGACCTTTCCGTTTCTCGGACATACTTTGTCGTCCAAAACCTTCACGTTTGAACTCTCCCAAGGGACTGGTGGGGGACCTGAATATTGAAGAGATCATGATTCACATAATGCAATGTGAGAAATCAGAATTTGGTTCACTGATTCACAGGCTCATTCAAACAAATGAAATAAAGGTTACAATCAACCAATAGCTTGTAGGGAGTATAGCACTACATTTAAATCTCGGCTTGTGAAGATCCACTTCTTCCCTGAATTCTCATCATATAAAAAAGTATGCACCTGAGAACAATTCAACATGTATTTCAAAATTGCTTATCTATAGCTGACTTTAGTATCTCAAACACTGATATCTTAAATACTAAGTATTTTAACCCATATAGCTCAAATCCTCAGATATCTTGATCCCATTGAGTTCTAGATAACAAGGTTTAACTGCATATATCCTAAACTCAATATTTCTCAAAATCCTTTATGTACAGTTACATCTTCTACTTACATCTCCTCCCCTCCGGGGCTTACAGGTGGCCCCCAGTCCCCACCCTGGAGCCACACAGGCTGCTGGTCATGTTCTTCTGAACTAGAACTGTTGGAGTGGTGGTGGAGGAAACCAATAGTAGAATGTGGTCGCATCCTCTGTCTGCTCTCCTGTAAAGAAAACATGGCAAACGACTATAAAACAGTTATAGGAGTGGTGTTGGAGGAAACCAATAGTAGAATGTGGTCGCATCCTCTGCCTGTTCTCCTGTAAAGAAAACATGGCAAACGACTATAAAACAGTTATAGGAGTGGTGTTGGAGGAAACCAATAGTAGAATGTGGTCGCATCCTCTGCCTGTTCTCCTGTAAAGAAAACATGGCAAACGACTATAAAACAGTTATAGGAGTGGTGTTGGAGGAAACCAATAGTAGAATGTGGTCGCATCCTCTGCCTGTTCTTCTGTAAAGAAAACATGGCAAACGACTATAAAACAGTTATAGGAGTGGTGTTGGAGGAAACCAATAGTAGAATGTGGTCGCATCCTCTGCCTGTTCTCCTGTAAAGAAAACATGGCAAACGACTATAAAACAGTTATAGGAGTGGTGTTGGAGGAAACCAATAGTAGAATGTCGTCGCATCCTCTGCCTGTTCTCCTGTAAAGAAAACATGGCAATCAACTGTAAAACAGTTATAGGAGTGGTGGGAATGGAAAGTGATTGTGGAGTGGGGGAAAGAAAACAGTTATGAGAAGAAATATATCATATGATTGTTAAACAGTAAAATATATAGGAATGGTGGGAATGGAAATTGGTTGCGAATTTGGGGAAGCAACTGCACTGCTGTCTGTTCTCCTGTAAAGAATCATAAAAAGCAATAAATGTTACGAGTGGTGACTGATCTTAATGGAGGGGAAAGTCATCCTCATTTGGTCACTAAGAAATGTAAATCAGAAATGAAATAAATTAAAAACCAGACCATTCTTTCATTGACTCTTTATTAGTGAGACAAAATTTTCATGAATTGCAGTTATTGCTCTATATAATCTAAAGGAATATTATTTTATGCAAGAATTAAATTTTCACGAGCACACTTTCTCGTGTAACTACGCAAAAATAATGTTCTCGTGAATAAAATGTGATTTACAGTAATAGATTTTCAGTGAAAATTAAATAATTTGGCTTGTTGTACTTACCGCCTCTTCCTCGTCATTCTCTATCATGACATTGGGGCCCACTAAGGGTGAACTTTTCTGCATGGGTTTAAACGGAGAAGTTCCAGGTGACAATATATTCCCACTACCTCGTAAAGCAAAATTATACGACTGATTCCGCAATCCTTCATCCTGATCATGTGACAAAGCACTATTGTCCATTTCATCTCTGGTGGCCTTCGTGTAGGATTCATTCCTAAGTCCTCCATTGGTGAGACGTTCAATTAAAAAGTTCCTCGCTTTACTTCCCCCATCTAAATAATCAAGGCCTCTGTGAGGCTCCAATGGGGTGTCACTTGTTTGTTTGTAAGAATCTAACAGGTTTTCCTTTGTTCTTAAGTCTTCCACATGGTCTGTCTCCCGGACCATTTTATTATTAGCACCGAAAACGAAAGCATCTGGGGAGGCCTCCTGTGTGAATGGAGAGGGAGAAGGGGCTCCGATTTTATGAGCAACAACAAGATGAATGTATCCGGGGATTGGTCCCTCCATCTGCATTGCTTTCCTTAACATTTCCATGGCCTCAGTGTTTGATAGTCCCATTAGTTTCTCATTGTTTACTTCAATTAATTGGTCATTCACTGCTAGTCGGCCATCCTAAGAATTAACGATCAGAATTAGAGACATTGCAATGCCAAGAGCATAAAATACAGACCCTGAAACGTGCTACTACCCCACACGCACGCTGCACGAACGGTACACGCTCGCTACACGGTTTGCACGAAACGCTGCACGGTTTACACGAAACGCTACACGGTTTGCACAAAATGCTACACGGTTTACACGAAACGCTTTGCACGAAAGGCTGCACGGTTTACACGAAAGCCTGCACGAAACGCTTTGTACACGTTTCTCACACGCTTTGTACACGATTCTCGCACGCTTTGGCCTCGATCTGGATATTCTATTCGGAATCTCTCGGACTTTATTTCAATTATTACGGATTAATCAAAGATTAGTTAAGAATTGCAATCATTCAGATTTAGATTAGAACTCGCTACACCAGTACTATATTTACAGATAAAATACTCAATGTTCAGTTGTAATTAATTAATAGTTGTCACTGAGTACATGTATGTAACCCGCGCGGTGAAATGCTTATCATCGTCTGTGTACAAACCTTTTCTCACTAGACTCTAAATTACGCACTGAAAAAAATAATAATATTTGTAATTCATAATCTTTTACAACATTTATTGTTTTTACAATTATAGTTTGATATTTAAAATGTCGTTTTATTACTGACAAATAAACTCAGTTATTGATTTGAAAAAAAAAATTTTATTAGATTGCGTATGATTTCTGTAAACGGATTTATTTTCTTTTCCTTTTTTTAATTACTGATTGATTTATACATTTTTTTTATTTAGTAAAAAAAAATAATTTCATTTGATTAAATAAGGTTCTGTTTAGAATTTGCAAAGCTAATAAGTAAACTGTATCAAACAGGAACATTGTGCAGGAAGGGGGGTATAGATTACCGAGACCTTACTGTTGTATCTTCAAATCTGTACATGGTTAAATACAACAGGCACTTGTTTCAGTAAGTATACCATCGGGGAAAAATTATCATAGAAACAAATGCCCGTTCTAAGAAAATAAAAGGATATCCATATCCAGCGGGACCCGATACATGCAATTCATTAAATGCACATTATTCAGAATTGTAAGTATATCGTTTCATTACAGAGTTAAACCTTAATTTATCATTAAAATTTTATATGGTAGAAAAGCCGGGGGATAGGTTTTGTAATTATTTAGTTCTCTGTTGAGGCATTGTGTTTATCAAATAAAAACAATATACCCATCACCATTTCAAACCCCGTCTAGACCAAAAAAAAAAAAAAAAAAATCAATATGCGTAATAATGTAATCAATAGTCGCGGCTCTTAACAATACCTTCAATATATATGTATACATGTCCAGTCCTAAAAACTAAAAAAAAAATGCTCTAGAACTGCGTGATTAATAAAACAACTAATATATAATTATTCAGAATTTTTTTCTTTAAAATTTTATTCACGAATACACTGGCAAATTAATTCACTGTTTACAGACAATAGGATAAATTTAAGAAATAAGATCCACGGGTATTTATTTATACCCATTAAATACTAGTAAAACGTTCAATTTCACGAATTAAAAATCAATCGTTATTGTCGGGTGTCATCTTAGCTATGATTGACAAGAGATAATAGCAGAACAAGTTTAAGTCCCAGCACGCGGAGTCCGTGATCACTGTTGTAAATGACATTGATCACTGTCGTAAGAAGAGTGTTGAAAGCATAAAGAAGATTCCAATATATTTTTAAGGGGTGCATCGGGCGCATCCCGAAAGAAACAATAATTTTTTTTAAAAAAGAAAATGATCAATAAAACACTTGTTTAAAACAGAAACTCAATTTGTGTTTTCATTTGATCCCCCCCCCCCCTTTCCCGGAAATATTTAACCCTGTATTTGCCGATGCATGTGAGTTATAATTCATTTATATGCCTATTATAAATCAACCAATTTTATGCATAAAAAAGACTATAAATGACTCATCGTTTCAAAATTATTTGTATCACAATCTAGTAATATAAGAAAATTATGTTCGTTTATAAAGAAAATCAATTAACTGTGCTCCCGGCCTAGAATTCCAATACTTCACATTTATAGCAACGCACTAAATTTTGCATTTTATTTTTCACTCCTGCAATATCTATCTATTATTTTGTATTGATCACCGGTATGTTCTTGTAATCTCTATATCCCATAATTGTAAAATGGTGAAGAGATTCAAATAAATGAATGAAAAAGACAAGACCGGATTCCAAATGAATTTTCTTTAAAAAATGTTCAGTATTGCTCCCTTTAAAAAATGTATTGAATCATATACCTTAAAATTTATGTGCATATAATCAATTACTTTTAACACATTTTCTGTCCATCTTTATTGAAATAAAAAAGAAAGAAAATCAAACAAATATACATTACCGATTAATTTTATTTTGTTGTTTCCGAATTTTTTTTTCACCCTTAAAATGCCACCATTATATATCCGGGTAATATTGGTTACAAACAACACAGAATGACATGTTGATCCATCGATAGCCATATTTAAAATAAAAGGACTTCCGAATGAATCGTACACGTTTCTCACACGGTTCTTACACGAAAGTCGCACGTTTCTCACACGCTTCTCGCACGCTCGCTACACGGTCTGCACGAAACGCTTTGGAACTTACACGAAACGCTGCACGATTTACACGAAACGCTACACGGTTTGCACGAAACGCTGCACGGTTTACACGAAACGCTACACGGTTTGCACGAAACGAAAAGCGCACGAAAGTCACACGCTTTTTTGGGGTAGTAGCACGTTTCAGGGTCTGTACAATAGTTATAGGAAGAACATTTATCTCAATCAATTTGTTCATTGCTTCTTCTCTTCACGCAAAAAATACCTCAGGTAAACAAAACTTAATTTTTAAACAAAGACTTAAAAGTGCAGTTTATTTGCATCAAAAAATTTGTATTTTGAGGTGTGGTACTTATTTGTTACTTCAGTTCTTATTGCAGACATTTTGAATTCCTGTTCTGACATTTACAGCATGAGTTGTTAGTAATTCTTCGTAAAATATTGTCTTATTTGTAGGACTTATTGAGGATATTTCAATCAGTGATATAGTTAATTAGCTAACCCTTAAATTTTCCCGTACCTTAGATGCTGCCCCTCCATGTATCACAGACTTAACAAATATACCCAGATCTCTAGTGCCCCGGTCCGTCGTCATGGTTTTACCCTTGACACTGACCCCGAGTCCCGCCGACCCTGAATCCGACAATGGAATGTCCAAGCGTAGAATCTCCTTGTTCCGTCCTGCAGTTAGGGAACCATCTGTATCCCCCGATTTCTCTGGTGGCTGCAAGACAGGAGGGGGTTCAGAGACGGGAGGGTCTCGCTGAAATCGGGAGGGGCCCAGTGAGTGCACAACATTAATACACACGCCAAACAAAGATCTAGATGGATTCAAATTGTCAGATCCAGAATGCCAGTTTTTTGAAGTACCACCTTAATTGAACTCTTAAGGTTTATACTTTTTCTCTCAAGAATGATGTTGCAAATTAGACATGTTAGAATTTATTTGACTATGAAATGGATTTTTAAGTCTCTCTCTTTTTTTTTTTTTTACTTTGAATCAATAGGCAAATGAATAATAAAATGATACTGACATTTCTATCATAAACCCTAGGTTTCATAGCATCCTGGATAATTAACAATAGGAACCATTTCTAACATGACATGATTACATATGTAAGTAAATGTGCCAACTCAATCAGAGAAGTGTGTTTTTCATTCTAGAATACTTTTCAGTCTTTAAATGTTAATATGAACAAGCAAAACATTACATTTACATTTATTTCCTCAAACCATCTTTTTTAATGAGTGGGTGAAAATAAATTGAAAATTTAGTCTTGAAATCAGGAAGCAGGGGGCCGGGGACAATGTTACACTGTGATTGAAAACTCATTGTTACATTATGACATCAGGAAGCACACACTGATCTGAATATTTATTTAAGAACCATGCCTGATCTGGATTGTCTGAATAACTCAAAAAATGTTCAGACAGCATCTCAGTAATATTTTTAACTTAATTAACACATCAATCTTACACCCCAAACAACCCCAAAATGCACCAAATGAATGTACTTTGATAAAAAGGTCCCATAATTCATTATTTATTCATTTACTGCAGTAATTAGATTTCTATTCATGCATGGTTCTTGTCTATACTTGCAATAATTAAAATAATAAAATAAAATTCTACTAGGTAACTAAATGAACTAGTTACATGATCTACGGTAGATATTTACACCGATTTACTAATCCTGGGACAGCTAGCATTACAATATATACTATATATGAATAACAGTCTTTCATTCAAACACAAAACATACACAGAATATTTTGACTACAATATTATATGGAAATATACATGTATATTCACTAGAAGTATGTTTTCATTCAGCAGCCTTTGAGATGAAATAGAGTTCTATGGAGATTAAAAAAAAAAGTGAGAGGAAGATATTGATAATGAGATATGAAGCACAGGGTAAAAAGGCAAGGCAATAAAATACTGTCTATCAGTATTACAAAATGACCCCCCCCCCCCCCCCCCAAAAAAAAGAACTATAACTATCTTCATATCTCATTAGAACTACATGTATCTATAAAAAAAAGAATAAATTCAGATGGAATAAATAATAGTTAGAGTCAGTTAACAGCTCCATACACATGATAAATAAAATTAATTAATTATGTGTATAGTATATTGCAGATAAGGCTATAATGAATAAAATCCACACAATATAGGTTGTTAAGAAAATATGTTAGCCAATCAAAAGCCTTGTTTAAAGTGAGATAATAGCCACTCATGAGTCTAGCTGAAGTCAGTAAAATATTATCAGACAGAAGCACACATCACTGGGAGACCAGGAAAGAGGACCAGTCCACAAAAATCTTAAACTGACCAATCAGAATAAAGGTTACAGCTAAACAGGAAGTAGAAATATTTACAACAGTAATCTTAGATTAGATCTCTAGATCTGACAGAAAACAGAGATTGTAGTCATCTATCTTTATATGTTAATTTAATTACACTAAATTGAAAATATAAAATCTAATTATATAACTCTAGACCATTATTTTATGCCTGTTGCATGAATGAAACTTTTGAAATCTTTTCTAAGTCTATCTTTAGTTCTTCTATAATAAACTGCTAAGAAAATTTATTATCTAATAATATAAAGCCATTACACTTGAAAACAAGCAACATAATTTACTTCGTTATACTTGACAGTGTGTACATTTCTTATTAATAAGATTTCAGCATTACTATAAGACTAGATATGAAATTAGATTCAGTCTACTGTACGGGCAGACATTTCCCTTCCCTTTGACTTACCAGCTCTCGAGGCACTTGAAACTTTTCGTCCACTACTTCCTGTCGTGATATTACCAGCTGTACAGAACTTCCCATGGGGGCATTCCGCAGCATCGAGACTACGTCAGCCTGGGTTTTTCCTGTCAGGTCCTCTCCATTCACCTACATTAATCGTGTGCAATGGGCATCAAATTAACTGAACAGAAATAAAGACCTCAAATTGAAAAAATATTTGATCATTTTTTTTCTGTAGGATTAAATCAAATTTGAGATTAAATAGAATGCAAGTGTGGCTTAAAAAATCTACTTATTGCCATGCTTATTGACTGTTTACTGCATAAAAAAGAATTTTTACCCCTTTTGCCCTCATCACCAATGGGCTAATTTACAAGTGGGTGGGGGGGGGGGGGGCACTCAACTGTCAATAGTAAAAGACTTATCTCTCTTTTATCAGAACTGTATCTGGGCAAATTTGCAAAATTGTCTGCATGATGGAGTAAAATTAACATGGGTGAAAATAACCCTGTATACACAGTTTGATCCAGTGATTGGTAGCTCATTTTATGCTAAAAGAATGCTCCATGTGATTTTTCCGCAGTTTGTTACATGAAAGAGTAATCTCCCTTCTTTATCAGTACCTCTAGCAGTCTATCTCCTGCTTTTAACCTTCCATCAGTAATGGCCGCTCCTCTGGGTAGGATGTTCTTAATATAGATTGGGGAATCCCCTCCTGCTGGGTTATCTCTGGTGGTCACACTGAAACCGAGGCTAACAGGACCTGTAGTGTATAGGATATTAAAATGAGAAAGGAGTAACCAATAGTTAACCTTAAGGTCAGTGAAGAAAAATTAAAATGATTTAGAAATGATATTTATGCAGAATACAAAACTTATTAAATAAACAATTTTAAAAAATACTTATCTGTTCATATTAATATCAAAGTATATTTTTAGCAAATGCCACCTTAATATCAGTAATGAAATATACACAATAAAGTCAATCAACAATCAAACTTTTCACAATTTTTATTTTCAATATAATTTTCGTTTCTTGCTTCTCACAATATTTTTACCTTTAGTATTATTCAAATTTTCATCTTTGTAAACTGTGATTTCATTTTTGTTTATTTAAGTGACTTTTTTGTGATTTTTTTTTTTACCTTTGATAAGAGTAATCTCCATCTTTTTGCCTATTTTCTTGGTGTTTGTTGGAGCCACTAATTTGCTGCGTTCCTTAGACACATTGGTAGACAGAGTTGTGCCTGGATTTCTTGTGGGTACCGCGGGGGGCACCTTCTTTGTGGGGGAGACAGGTTTGGCAGGGATAGCTGGCTTAATGGGAGAGGGGGCATACCCCTCCATACTACTGTTACTGGGAGGAAAAAAAACAGAGATCATTCTTAATCAAATTCAGGTCAAAAACCAGAGATCATTCTTAATCAAAATCAGGTCAAAAACAAAGATCATTCTTAATCAAAATCAGGTCAAAATCAGAGAACATTCTTAATCAAAATCAGGTCAAAAATCAGAGATCATTCTTTATCAAAATCAGGTCAAAAACAGAGATCATTCTTAATCAAAATCAGGTCAAAAAACAGAGATAATTCTTAATCAAAATCAGGTCAAAAACAGAGATCATTCTGTATTAAAATTGGGTCAAATCAGAGATCATTCTTTATCAAAATCAGGTCAAAAACAGAGATCATTCTTAATCAAAATCAGGTTAACCAGAAGTCTCTGATGAGACTGTAGCTCTACTGGTCTGTTTGTATAACAAAAGAAAAGTAGCACTTGGATTTGAAACATTGCAACATGCAACAATAAATAGAATTATGTATCTTAATGTAGTCTACTTTTGTGACAAGTTATATTGAAATCATAATGACAAATGAAAACTAGGAGTAGTAGCGTTTTGAAAGTATTTCACGGATATTTCTATTTTTAGTACCAGTAACCATGACAACACCACTCACCCAAATAAAAAAAAACAGAAATACATATTATGTATCGTAGTGTATTCTAACTGTGTGCCAAATTAGATTGAAATCAGACCAAAATTGTAGGAGGAGTAACGTTTTAAAGGAATTTCACAGAAATTTCTATTTTAAGTAACCATGGCAACACTGTTCATCGAATTCAAAAACCAATGCAATAAATTATGTATCTTAGTATAGTCTTCTTGTATGCCTAATTATATTAGAAGCAGACTAAAACTGTAGCAGGAGTAGTGTTTTAAAGGAATTTCACAGAAATTTCTATTTTTAGTAACCATGGCAACACCGTCCATCGAAATCAAAAACCGATGCACTAAATTATGTATCTTAGTGTAGTCTACTTGTGTGCCAAGTTATATTAAAATCAGACCAAAACTGTAGGAGGAGTAGCGTTTTAAAGGAATTTCACAGAAATTTCTATTTTTAGTAACCATGGCAACACCGTCCATCGAAATCAAAAACCGATGCACAAAATTATGTATCTTAGTGTAGTCTACTTGTGTGCCAAGTTATATTAAAATCAGACCAAAACTGTAGGAGGAGTAGCGTTTTAAAGGAATTTCACAGAAATTTCTATTTTTAGTTACCATGGCAACACTGTTCATCGAATTCAAAAACCAATGCAATAAATTATGTATCTTAGTATAGTCTTCTTGTATGCCTAATTATATTAGAAGCAGACTAAAACTGTAGCAGGAGTAGTGTTTTAAAGGAATTTCACAGAAATTTCTATTTTTAGTAACCATGGCAACACCGTCCATCGAAATCAAAAACCGATGCACTAAATTATGTATCTTAGTGTAGTCTACTTGTGTGCCAAAATATATTGAAATCGGACCAAAACTGTAGGAGGAGTAGCGTTTTAAAGGAATTTCACAGAAATTTCTATTTTTAGTAACCATGGCAACACCGTCCATCGAAATCAAAAACCGATGCACTAAATTATGTATCTTAGTGTAGTCTACTTGTGTGCCAAGTTATATTAAAATCAGACCAAAACTGTAGGAGGAGTAGCGTTTTAAAGGAATTTCACAGAAATTTCTATTTTTAGTTACCATGGCAACACCGTCCATCGAAATCAAAAACCGATGCAATAAATTATGTATCTTAGTGCAGTCTACTTGTGTGCCAAGTTATATTGAAATCGGACCAAAACTGTAGGAGGAGTAGCGTTTTGAAAAATTGTTTACAGACAGACGGACAGACAGACAGACAGACAGACGGACGGACGACGGACACCTTACTATCGCATAAGCTCTTCTGGTCTCTGACCAGTAGAGCTAAAAATCAGAGATCATTCTTAATCAAAATCAGGTCAAAAACAGAGATCATTCTGTATTAAAATCGGGTCAAATCAGAGATCATTCTTTATCAAAATCAGGTCAAAAACAGAGATTATTCTTAATCAAAATCAGGTCAAAATCAGAGATCATTCTTAATCAAAATCAGGTTAAAAATCAGAGATCATTCTTAATCAAAATCAGGTCAAAAAACAGAGATTATTCTTAATCAAAATCAGGTCAAAAACAGAGATCATTCTTAATCAAAATCAGATTTTAAAAAAACCCAAAAAAGATATCATTCATAATGATATCGAAAGCAGGTCAAAAATCATATGGTTCACTGCTAAATACTTATGTAAAGATCTGCATTTTGTCAGTCACTCAACTACTATTAAGCAATGGTACCATTGCCTAATATACTCAACAGAAATAATGTTCATGGTAATTGATTTAATGAATGCTTTGTCCAAAGGTAAATTTGTATTGCTAGATAAACAAGAACTGAAACCTTGTCTCCTTGGTCTGTTCTTATGAAGAAAGGAAAGAAGAACTTTCATTGTAATCTTGAACAATTTCTCTGAAACTATGAAATGGATGGAAAGACAAAACAGACAGGATAGGCTTTATACATCCCCAACATACAAAGCATATGTAACAGAGACATTTTGTGCCTCTGCTGGGGATTGAACCCAGGGCCTCTGGTTTGCCAGAACTTCGCCCCACAGGCGTTGGCACTCCAAAAGAGATGAGGACATCTCATTCTCTGGAGGGGGACAATATGGTAGTGTCAGATACATGGCTTCCTACTAGCTTGGGCTAGTGAGTTAACCCTTTAGCTCAATTGGTAGAGCACTGAACTGGCAAGCCAGAGGCCCCGGGTTCAATCCCCAGTAGAGGCACAAAATGTCTCTGTTACACATACAATTCTAAATCCATATGCATATAAAATTCCTCACTATCTAGACCCTCCATGTACTGTAGATTCCTAAATATATGCGAGGAATTAATTATCACATAATTACGCGAGAAGAACCACTCGTGAAATAAAATTACTCGCTTCAATTTTTGTGGTACTGAAATCCATATAAAGTATCTTAATCAAGCGTCCACTCGCGAATTATACTTCTCGCAATTTGTCGTCTAAGGGCCATTTCGCGATATTAAGTACTCGCGTAAAATAAGGAATCTACAGTATAAGATGTTCCATGTTGAGCTATTATCATGTTATACCTACCTACTATTCTGTACAGATACTATAGGGGTGCTAGTCTGCTCTGGTCCTGTTGGGCTGGAGAGGTCCGATTCATTGAGTCGGGGTGGGGGCAGTGTTAGGGGAGAAGGTTTGGCAGGGGTGTGGTTTTTGGGTTTTGGCATGACTGGGGGTGGAGGTTGTTTGGGGAGGGGTGGAGGAACTTGTTTTTTGATGATGCGCAATCTGATGTCATTATCCCTCATGGCAGAGCGAAAAATGTCCTGAGCTCTACAATAAACAATGTGGTGAACTAAATCACTACTTCTACCATTTAATTACAATGCTCTCTCTCGCTTTCTTTTCAAATTGTTGGCAATTCAAGGCCTAAAAATAGCAGACTAATTAATAAATGTTCTTAATCTGTTACTTGAATACCTATGATCAATTTCAAAAACTTTCTGTGTACATTATAATTTCAAGCATCAAACAAAATTCAAGGGAGATAAACATGAAACTTTACAGTCTTAAGATCAAGAACACTTTGTGATTCTTTTATTTCAGATACTCAAACATATTGATTTACTTCTGTCATTTTGTTAACAATTGATGTGCACTGCAATTCTTGTCAATATGTTTACAAGTCTTAAATTGATTCTACAGTTTATAACACAAATATTACACAGGAAGTAGGAAAAACAATTTTTTAATATGATCATTTCTAGTACAGAAGTCACTCCTTACTTGGAAAATGTAACTCCTACAAGTGTTTGTCCATTGATCTCAATAATGCGGTCATTTTCTCGGAGTCTTCCGTCTTTTGACACTCTCCCTCCTTCCTCCACACCTTGTACCAACAACCCTAGTTCTCTATAAATAGTTACAGCAAAAAATAGTAACAACAACTATAGTTCTCTATAAATAGTAACAACAATAAATAGTAACAGCAACCCTAGTTCTCTATAAATAGTTACAACAATAAATAGTAACAACAACTCTAGTTACCTATAAATAGTAACAACTCTAGTTATCTATAAATAGAAACAAGAATAAATAGTAACAGCAACCCTATTTCTCTATAAAAAGTAACAACTACCCTCATTATAAATAGTTACAACAACTCTAGTTCTCTATAAATAATAACAATAAATAGTAACAACAACCCTAGTTCTCTATAAACATGATAAATAGTAACAACCCTAGTTCTCTATCAATAGTAACAACAACCCTAGTTCTCTATCAATAGTAACAACCCTAGTCCTCTATAAATAGTAACAACAACCCTAGTCCTCTATCAATAGTAACAACCCTAGTCCTCTATAAATAGTAACAACAACCCTAGTTCTCTATCAATAGTAACAACAACCCTAGTTCTCTATCAATAGTAACAACCCTAGTCCTCTATAAATGGTAACAACAACCCTAGTCCTCTATCAATAGTAACAACAACCCTAGTTCTCTATAAATAGTGACAACTAACCTAGTTCTCTATAAATTGTAACAACCCTTCTTTACTACAAATAGTAACAATCCTGGTTCTCTATAATAAATCATTTGCATCTCATGTCAACGTATCTACATATACTGAACGATCAATTCAGTAAAAATAGCTTTGACATCATGACTCAGTAGGACTTCAAGGATAAAATGTGTCATTTATAAAAATCATCAATGAAAAAGGGCAAAGTACTTTTACATAACATACTGTGAATTCATCATTGTTTGTGAGGAAGCAATGTAAGGTGGATTTTTTGTAGGTCATCTTTACCCATGATTTACATTCCTACAAACAACTTTGTCAATGTATTAATATTGATTCACTGAATCTTCTGTAAATATGTGTTACTCCCAAAAGTTCACCTCCAAAAGGCAATGGAATTTTGATGAAACCCAAGAATCAAAATGATTCTACAGTTTATAACACAAATATTACACAGAAAGTAGGAAATACATTTTAAAACCATCATTACTTACCTCCCCGAGTCATCATAATCCGGCACAACATGGATTCCTAGCGGACCTCCGTCATTTGGTAGATGTATAAGAATACCACTGTAATATATAGTGAAGTCTGTCTAGATCATACAGAATCATGGAAAAATTCTTATACTAGAGATTAACACCAACTAATTAGGTCTTTCCACCTTTCTGTGGAAAGACCTATTGATTTTCTTCTGTTTATTATTATTCTTATTATTCTTATTAGGTCTTTCCACCTTTCTGTGGAAAGACCTCTTGAAATGCTTATGTTTATTATTATTAGGTCTTTCCACCTTTCTGTGGAAAGACCTATTGATTTTCTTCTGTTTATTATTAGGTCTTTCCACCTTTCTGTGGAAAGACCTATTGATTTTCTTCTGTTTATTATTATTATTATTAGGTCTTTCCACCTTTCTGTGGAAAGACCTATTGAAATGCTTATGTTTATTATTATTATTATTTTTCCGTTACCGCCTTTTGAACCGAAAGACTTTTCGAAAAACTTTATAGTTCATGATACTCGACATCAAAAGTTATTTCAAAAAACTACCCAACGAGTATGACCTATGACCCCTTTCGGAGTTCTTGCCCTTTAAACGAAAAACCTTGTTATCGCTACTCCTTCGAAATCATAAACCGCAGAGGTACGAAACCTTAACCAATGTCTTCAACTAACTGAGTACTCGCTTCAAGGTTTCACTGCGAAAGAATTCGTCGACCCCTTTTATGAGTTATTGCCCCTGGACGTTTCTCATGTTTACGAATAATGAAAAACTTTTCTAAACGACAAGTCGTAAAGACATGGGACCAACTGCATAAGATTCTTTGACCTTAGACCTTGAACTTAAGGTCAAGGTCAAAGGTCAAGGTCATTCACAATATGAGAAAATTAGCTCTTTTTATAGCTCTTTTGTCTTTCAACATATACTATATATCTTGCATATTTAATATGTCCTTCTAAAACTATTTCAAAGATTTCATTCTTGTCCCCCGAGCTTGACCCATTCAAAAGTCGTCACCCCTTGTGCAACAAAACCTTGTTATCGCTACTCCTCCGAAACCGTAAACCGTAGAGATTCCAAACCTTCATCAGTGTCTTCGACTCATTTAGTACTCTCTTCATTCTATCATTGCGAAAGCATTCTTTGGTCCCTTGTATGAGTTCCTGCCCCTGAAAGTTTACGCTGCTTACATTTAATGAACTTTTTTTTAAAACGGTGTATCCTAGAGACATGGGATCAACTGCATGAGCATGTTCGACCTTTGACCTTGAAATATAGGTCAAGGTCAAAGGTCAAGGTCATTTAAAAACATTAGAAATTCCTTATATATGTGTTATATAAGGCAATTTACCAAATGACCTTGAACTTTGACCTTGACCTTTCACCTTGACCTTGGGTCAAATGGAAAAGTAAGGACATGCATTCAGCTCCAGTATCAGGTAAAAACATAGAAAAGTAAAGATTTCTTTTTTTTTTTTTTTTTTTTTTTTTTTTTTTGTAATGACCTTGACCTTTGACCTTGACCCAAGGTCACAATCAGGCTTAAGGATGTGGAAGTAGTTACAATTCTTAGTTTAAAAGAGGCATAAAATAAATAATTAACCTCCCCCCCCCTTTCTAAAAAAAAAAAAAAAAATCACATCAACAACAACGTAGAATATTTCTGTCAAATTCAAACCAGACCTCGGATCGACACCATATTTGGTACAATTGTAGTATAGACCTCAGAGAAAGTTTCTGGAGAGTTTTACGGTGAGTCCTATAAGTTTATAGAAGTCTTGAAGTTTCACAGCAAAAATTACAAGTTCTGTTGTGTTTGTAATTAAAGTGCAGGTGAACGAAGAAATGATCTAAACCTTTTATCGGCTATTTCTTCAGATGTCGTTAGCAACATTCGATTCTCCTGATATGAGACGACATTTTAATGCCAAGCATTCTCTCTTTCTTTTACATTTGGAATTTATTTGATTTTTATTTAGAATTAATCAGTTTCCAGAAATAGCGATTTTCGGTAGATTAAAAACAATTCTCGCTTTCATTGTCGTCTTTCCCTTCTAAATATGCATGTTGGGAGTTTAATTTGTGATACACATATTTAATTTAACCCAAAGAAATGCTTATTTAAATGTTTCATAGTTATTTCAGGATATTCAGTCAGAAATGTTAAAATCCGAACCCGATCTTTTAAGCTTACAACAAAGCTATTTATAAAAAAAATTCAGCATGCTCACAATATCGATGAATCGGGCTACAGTCCATTAATACATTTTCATTAGGGAACAGTGTTAATGTTTTCTTACGCATCCCGTCCCTTATTATTTAATATACTGCTTGCAAATTCAGGAACTATTTCCTTTTACGGAACTTCTTTCTTCCCCTACCGATTCTAAAAATATGCTTGCATTTCTTCTGTAGTCTTAAACAATTAACTTACGAAGGATATCAGAATGCGTGGCCGAATGGTTAGCGCACCTGCCTTTCAATCCAAGGGTTTTGGGTTCGAACCCTGCTGGAGGAGCAAATTTTCTTTTTTTTTTTTTTTTTTTTTTCATTTTTTGCATTTTTCTACTTTTTCTCAACCCAAATGACACGGAAACACTTAAAAAGGTGGAAAGGCCTCTAATTGTTCTCTGAACAATTAGTCTCCTAGTTATTATTATTATTATTATTCCGCTGATTTTTTGTTTCGATGTTTATCGAAAAGATTATTCGTTGACCGTAAAGGTCATAAAAAGTTAGGAACAAATTTGACCCAACGCGTATAACCTATGACCCCTTTCGCAGTTATTGCCCCTTTTGATAGAAACCTTGTTATCGCTACTCCTCCGAAACCATAAACCGTAGAGGTACGGAACCTTCACAAATGACTTCGACTAATTGAGGGGACTCTTCAATCTTTTCATTGCGAAAGTATTCGTCAACCCCTTTTATGAGTTATTGCCCCTGAAAGATTTTGATGTTTACAAATAATTAAAAATTTTCAAAACAATAAGTTAAAGAGACATGGGACCAACTGAATAAGATTCAATGACCTTTGACCATATAATATATGCAAAGGTCAAAGGTCAAGGTCATTCAAAATATAAGAAATTAAGCTCTTTTTATATCTCTTTTGTCTTTCAACATATACTAAATATCTTTGCATCATTAATATGTCCTCTTAAAACTATTTCAAAGATTTCGTACTTGTCCCCTTAGATTTACCCCTTTAAAAGTTATTGCCCCTTTTACTGAAAACCTTGTTATCGCTACTCCTCCGAAACCGTAAACCGTAGAGACACAAAACCTTCACTAATGTCTTCAGGGTCTTTAGACACAACTTCAATCTATTCAGTGCGAAAGTAGCCATTGACCCCTTATATGAGTTATTGCCCTTTAATGTATTTGCGCTTACTATTAAACCTTATAACTTCAAAACTAAAAGGCATAGAAGCATGGGGTCAAGTGCAATGTGACCCTTGACCTTTGACCTTGAAAATTTGTTCAAGGTCAAAGGTCAAGGTCATTTCAAATTTGTTAAATTTTTCATTTTTTCTATCTTTCAAGCCATTTATGGATTCTTTTGGTATAAAAATTAACTTTATAGAGTAAAATGTGAAAAATATATGAAATTTAAAGAAGGTGGAAAGACCTCTAATTGTTCGAGAACAATTAGTTTACTAGTTATTATTATTCTTCTTCTTATTATTATTATTTTTCTTCCGCTGATTTTTTGTTTCGATATTTATCGAAAAGATTTTTTGTTCATCGTAAAGGTCATAAAAAGTTATGAACAAATTTGACCCAATGCATATAACCTATGACCCCTTTCGCAGTTATTGCCCCTTTCACTTGAAACCTTGTTATCGCTACTCCTCCGAAACCGTAAACCGTAGAGTTACGAAACCTTCACCAATGTCTTCGATTAATTGAGAAGACTCTTCAATCTATTCATTACGAAAGGATTCGTTGAGCCCTTTTATGAGTTATTGCCCCTGAAAGTTTTTGAAGTTTACAAATAATGAAAAATTTTCAAAACGATAAGTCGTAGAGACATGAAACCAACTGCATTAGATTCTTTAACCCTAGACCTTGAAGATTATGTCAAGGTCAAAGGTCAAGGTCATTCCAAATATGAGAAATAAAGCTCTTTTTATAGCTCTTTTGTCTTTCAGCATATACAGTATATCTTTGCATCTTTTATATGTACTTTAAAAACTATTTCAAAGATTTCAATCTTGTCCCCTAAGCTTAACCCTTTTAAAAGTTATTGCCCCTTGTGCGAAAAACCTTGTTATCGCTACTCCTCCGAAACCGTAAACTGCAGAGACACGAAACCTTCACTAATGTACTCAGGGTCTTTAGACACAACTTCAATCTATTCAGTGCGAAAGTATCCGGTGACCCCTTATATGAGTTATTGCCCTTTAATGTCTTTGTGCTTACTAGTAAGCATTATAACTTTAAAACTAAAAGTCGTAGAAGCATGGGGTTAATTGCAATGTGACCCTTGACCTTTGACCTTGAATATTTGTTCAAGGTCAAAGGTCAAGGTCATTTCAAAATTTTTAAAACTTTCATTTTTTCCATCTCTCAATCCATTTCTGGTTTCTTTTGTATAAAAATAAACAGTAGAGAGTTAAATGTGAAGAATATATGAAATTTAAAGAAGGTGGAAAGACCTCTAATTGTTCGAGAACAATTAGTCTACTAGTTATTATTATTTTTCTTCCCGGACTTTTGAAACCGTAAGACTTATCGAAAAACTTTATAGTTCATGATACTGGATATTAAAAGTTATTCCAAAAAACGACCCCCCATGTTTGAACTTTGACCTCTTACGAAGTTATTGCCCCTTTCGCAAGAATAGCTTGTTATCACTACTCCTTCGAAACCGTAAACCGTAGAGGTACGAAACCTTCACCAATGTCTTTGACTAATTGAGGGGACTCTTCAATCTATTCATTGCAAAAGAATTTGTTGACCACTTCAATGAGTTATTGCCCCTGAAAGTTTTTGATGTTCATGAAAAATTAAAAATTTTCAAAACCATAAGTTGTAGAGACATGAAACCAACTGCATTAAATTCTTTGACCTTTGACCTTGAAATTTATGTCAAGGTCAAAGGTCAATGTCATTGAAACTATGAGATATTTATAGCTCTCTCTCGTTATTATTAGGTCTTTCCACCTTTCTGTGGAAAGACCTATTGATTTTCTTCTGTTTATTAGGTCTTTCCACCTTTCTGTGGAAAGACCTATTGCTTTTCTTCTGTTTATTATTATTAGGTCTTTCCACCTTTCTGTGGAAAGACCTCTTGAAATGCTTATGTTTATTAGGTCTTTCCACCTTTCTGTGGAAAGACCTATTGATTTTCTTCTGTTTATTATTATTCTTCTTCTTCTTCTTATTCTTCTTATTATTATTTTTCTTCCGCTGATTTTTTGTTTCGACATTTATCGAAAAGACTTTTTGTTCATGGTAAAGGTCATAAAAAGTTATGTACAAATTTGACCCAACGCGTATAACCTATGACCCCTTTCGCAGTTATTGCCCCTTTCACTAGAAACCTTGTTATCGCTACTCCTCTGAAACCGTAAACTGTAGAGTTACGAAACCTTCACCAATGTCTTCGACTAATTGAGAAGACTCTTCAATCTATTCATTACAAAAGGATTTGTTGAGCCCTTTTATGAGTTATTGCCCCTGAAAGTTTTTGAAGTTTACAAATAATGAAAATTTTTCAAAAAGATAAGTCGTAGAGACATGAAACCAACTGCATTAGATTCTTTAACCCTAGACCTTGAAGATTATGTCAAGGTCAAAGGTCAAGGTCACTCCAAATATGAGAAATAAAGCTCTTTTTAGAGCTTTTTTGTCTTTCAACATATACAGTATATCTTTGCATCTTTTATATGTACTTTTAAAACTATTTCAAAGATTTCAATCTTGTCCCCTAAGCTTAAACCTTTTAAAAGTTATTGCCCCTTGTGCAAAAAACCTTGTTATCGCCACTCCTCCGAAACCGTAAACCGCAGAGACACGAAACCTTCATTAATGTATTCAGGGTCTTTAGGCAATACTTAAATCTATTCAGTGCGAAAGTATCCGGTGACCCCTTATATGAGTTATCGCCCTTTAATGTCTTTGCGCTTACTAGTAAACCTTATAACTTTAAAACTTAAAGTCGTAGAAGCATGGGGTTAATTGCAATGTGACCCTTGACCTTTGACCTTGAATATTTGTTCAAGGTCAAAGGTCAAGGTCATTTCAAAAAATGTTAAAATTTTCATTTTTTCCATCTCTCAAGCCATTTCTGGTTTCTTTTGTATAAAAATAAGCAGTAGAGAGTTAAATGTGAAGAATATATGAAATTTAAAGAAGGTGGAAAGACCTCTAATTGTTCGAGAACAATTAGTCTACTAGTTATTATTATTATTATTATTCTTTTTCTTCCCGGACTTTTGAAACCGCAAGACTTATCAAAAAACTTTATAGTTCATGATACTGGATATCAAAAGTTATTCTGAAAAACGACCCCCCATGTTTGACCTATGACCTCTTACAAAGTTATTGCCCCTTTCGCAAGAATAGCTTGTTATCGCTACTCCTTTGAAACCGTAAACCGTAGAGGTATGGAATCTTCACAAATGTCTTCGACTAATTGTGAGGACTCTTCAATCTTTTCATTGCGAAAGTATTCGTCAACCCCTTTTATGAGTTATTGCCCCTGAAAGTTTTTGATATTTACGAATAATTAAAAATTTTCAAAACGATAAGTCGTAGAGACATGGGACCAACTGCATAAGATTCATTGACCTTTGACCTTAAAATATATGCAAAGGTCAAAGGTCAAGGTCATTCAAAATATGAGAAATTAAGCTGTTTTTATATCTCTTTTATCTTTCAACATATACTAAACATCTTTGCATCATTAATATGTCCTCTTAAAACTATTTCAAAGATTTCATACTTGTCCCCTAAGATTTACTCCTTTAAAAGTTATTGCCCCTTTTACTGAAAACCTTGTTATCGCTACTCCTCCAAAACCGTAAACTGCAGAGGCACAAAACCTTCACTAATGTCTTCAGGATCTTTAGATACAACTTCAATCTATTCGGTGCAAAAGTATCCGATGACCCCTTATATGAGTTATCGCCCTTTAACATCTTTGCGCTTACTATTAAACCTTATAACTTTAAAACTAAAAGTCGTAGAAGCATGGGGTCAAGTGCAATGTGACCCTTGACCTTTGACCTTCAATTTGTGGTAAGGATCAAAGGTCAAGGTCATTTCAAATTTTGAAAATTTTCATTTTTTCTATCTTTCAAGCCATTTATGGATTCTTTTTGTATAAAAATTAACTTTAGAGAGTAAAATATGAAAAATATATGAAATTTAAAGAAGGTGGAAAGACCTCTAATTGTTCGAGAACAATTAGTCTACTAGTTATTATTATTTTTCTTCCGCTGATTTTTTGTTTCGACATTTATCGAAAAGATTTTTTGTTCATCGTAAAGGTCATTAAAAGTTATGAACAAAGAAGAAGGTACGGTTTTAGCTTTATTGTGCCCTAAAAACGTAATGTTTTCAAAAAGTTTTGAAACTGGCTTAAATATTAGTTGAGTATATGACTGTGATAAATCAGGAAAGAATATGGCATGAAGGAGTACCATTCTGGATATACGATATCATGAATTTGATTCATTTCTCTATTTTAAACAGAAAATGCCTCAAAATGACTCATTTCAAGGTTTATTTTCTTTAAGAAAATAGTGTCCACAGCCGTCGCCCACTTTAATTTTTGGATATGTTGTGTAAAATTCTTTAAAAAATCACATATCTCAAAATCTTTGTGGGCGATGGCTGTGGACAATATTTTCTGAAAGAAAATTCCATTGAAAATTGGTGTCTTCTGCAACTTTTTAAGAAAATACGGGAAATTGCACAAGTTTATGACGTCACAATTAGCATTTAGAAGGTCATGAGAGAAAAATGATTTCTATGATCTTTCTGCATGGAATTTCAAAGATTCAGAAAGCACGAGTTTCAATTTTTCACATCACTTTCATTTTTAAGAAAAACACAGGGCAAGAATTGTATTGAAACCGTACCTTGTTCTTTGACCCAACGCATATAACCTATGACCTCTTTCGCAGTTATTGCCCCTTTTGCTAGAAACCTTGTTATTGCTACTCCTCTGAAACCGTAAACTATAGAGGTACGAAACCTTCACCAATGTCTTCGACTAATTGAGGAGACTCTTCAATCTATTCATTACGAAAGGATTCGTTGAGCCCTTTTATGAGTTATTGCCCCTGAAAGTTTTTGAAGTTTACAAATAATGAAAAATTTTCAAAACGATAAGTCGTAGAGACATGAAACTAACTGCATTAGATTCCTTAACCCTAGACCTTGAAGTTTATGTCAAGGTCAAAGGTCAAGGTCATTCCAAATAAGAGAAATAAAGCTCTTTTTATAGCTCTTTTGTCTTTCAACATATACAGTATATCTTTGCATCTTTAATATGTACTTTTAAAACTATTTCAAAGATTTCAATCTTGTCCCCTTAGCTTAACCCTTTTAAAAGTTATTGCCCCTTGTGCGAAAAACCTTGTTATCGCTACTCCTCTGAAACCGTAAACCGCAGAGACACGAAACCTTCACTAATGTATTCAGTGTCTTTAGACACAACTTCAATCTATTCAGTGCGAAAGTATCCGATGACCCCTTATATGAGTTATCGCCCTTTAATGTCTTTGCGCTTACTAGTAAGCCTTATAACTTTAAAGCTAAAAGTCGTAGAAGCATGGGGTTAATTGTAATGTGACCCTTGGCCTTTGACCTTGAATATTTGTTCAAGGTCAAAGGTCAAGGTCATTTCAAAATTTTAAAATTTTCATTTTTTCCATCTCTCAAGCCATTTCTGGTTTCTTTTGTATAAAAATAAAGAGTAGAGAGTTAAATATGAAGAATATATGAAATTTAAAGGTGGAAAGACCTCTAATTGTTCGAGAACAATTAGTCTACTAGTTTATTATAAACATTCTTTCTTTAAAACTCCATGTGCTAATGACAGAAAGAAAGCTATGGGGAAAAAATTCACAGTTAAACAGCAGGCCCCAGGATCATGAAACAGACTTAGACCAAGTCAAATTTTCAATCACCTGTAAATTGCCAATTCATTTTTGAATTGCATCTCTAAATTTGCAGATATCAAAACTTTTGTGACATAATCATAATAATATTTTAAAAAAACATTTTAATTTTGGACTGCTTGACTCTTACAACATTTTAGCACAACCTTAAGATTTTGACCTAAGTTTAAGATGTTTCATGATCCCTGTGCCAGGAGACGCAAAAAAATTGATCCCCTTGCAGCTAAAATGACATTTTTAATAAGCTTTCTAAGCCTAGGTTCACAACTGATTTATCTAAACTTGTACTATCCAGCTGATAAAAATCTGCCTATTTAGGAATAAGAAAGAATTCATGATTTTTGTGCCCACTACAAAAGAGAATTTGTTTAAATTTAATTTCAGAAGCATTGTTTTTACATGTAAAAATACAAACCTGTGTGTGTGGTTTTCAACTTTTGAGTCATTCCCTGGTTCTGTACTGGCTCCCCCAACTGGTTCTCTTCTCTCCATCTGAACAAATTTTAATTTGTATACATGATCATCATACTTAAACAAGAGTGACACTTCATCTGTACAAATATGTTTACATGATCATCATACTCAAACTCAAACAAGAGTGATAATGTACATGTATGTTAATAGCATTTCATTCACACAATTGATACATACAATACATTTGAAAATCTTTTTTTCTTCCATATAGACAAGTAAAATAATCATTGAATGATACAAAAGGAAACTGTTTTATCTATATCCATATTATACAGAGGTGTTACACTTTGACTGAATTTCCCCTTATTACTTCACGTACTTCAATGCACAATGTAATGAAATGGTGTTCATTCAAATTAAAATCTCCATAAAATGAATCAGACCAATATTAAGTTATTGAAGTAGCTCCATGGAAGATTATAACAAACCTACCCTTTACATCTACTTTTCCTCATTATTTCTGATGTATAAAATCTGAGACACATATCTGTTCTAGTTCTACTCATATTGACCTCTATATCATCCACCACCGCAAGTTACTGTAAACCAACTTTTATTCCCTTGCAAATAATATCCGCCAGTATCCGCCTACATTAACTCACGAATAATTGTCGCGAACCATTCATTTTGCTTTGTATTTGTAGAGAATGTTTCCTAATTTACGAAAATTAATTGTCGCAGATTGATTTCAAACTGACGAATCGTGAACAAAAGATGAAATGAATAATAGTTGGTTTACAGTATACCTCACTCCTATAGCAATCCCAAGTCTATTAGCCCCCCTGTTAACAACTCCTATTTATAACCCTCCTTAACATTATGAACTGCACTATACTGTAGATCACTATATATTTCTGCGACATCTTATTGTTTGGTATTTATAAGCAAGACAAAATTTTCATGTGTAACAGTTATTGTTGCATTAAAACTTTAATAATAGAATATGAGAATGAAATTTTCATGAGCAGACAGTCTCGTGTAATTACGTGAAAATAAAGTGCTCATGAAGGATGAAAATATGATTTACAGTAATTTTATACTGCTTGACCTTTGATCCACCCCACTCATATCAATATCGGTTGCCCGCGTGGTGCAGTGGTCAGAGCGTCTGCTCTAGAGTTGCGGAGTAAAGAGTTGATCCTTAGGTCACGGGTTTGAATCCCACTGCGGGACGTGGACACCGGTCCTTTGGATGAGACCGTATAAATCGAGGTCCCGTGTCACAGTAGGTGCTGGCACGAAAAAGATCCCTCACTGCTCAATGGCCCTGAGTGCCAAATATAGGTCAAAATTTGTAGCCCTCCACCGGCAAGTGGTGGCGTCTCAATATGAGTGAAAAATTCTCAAGAGGGACTTTAAACAACAAACATACAAACCTATCAATATCTGGTGTATAATTGTTTATCACCACCCTGTTTGATCATACTCTCCTGTCATATGTTAACACCTGTTCTGATCCACCCCTCCCATGTCATTCCTGGTGTATGAGGCTCTGAAGATTACCACCCATTTTGATCACCCCTTTCTTGACATACCTGGTGTGTGGAGATCTGAAGGTTTCCACCTGCTTTGATCCACCCCTCCCTTATCATACCCAGTGTATGGGGCTCTGAAGGTTACCACCCATTTTGATCTACCCCCCCTTGTCATACCTGGTGTATGGGGCTCTGAAGATTACCAACTGCTTTGATCTACCCCTCCCTTGTCATACCTGGTGTATGGGGCTCTGAAGATAACCACCTGTTTTGATCCACCCCTCCATTATCATACCTGGTGTATGGGGATCTGAAGATTATCTGTTTTGATCCACCCCTCCATTATCTTACCTGATGTATAGGGCTGTGAAGCCTCTCTTGCTGCCTCTCTTGAGCCTCTAACCATTTGTACATGTCTGGACGGTTACCAAGCGACTGTCTCCAGTTGTCCCGAGAAAATCGACTGATGGAAGATTTCCCCTTATCACCAGAGGGTGCCATTTCCTTCTCCACCTCAAAGTCCTCCAAATCAGAAGGTTCCTCAGCCTACAAGGATCAAAATGAGTGAGGAAAAATTCTGACATTCTGATACCTGTAACATTACAAAACATTAAAACCAAATTATTCACAAATTTTTAAAGTACATTTTGGTCTTGGTAATAAGTTCTTTTGTAAAATGGGGACCTCGGTACTTAAATGTCTTGAATACCATAGATACATAGAAGTCAGCTGGAAATCCCAATGACAGGGAGCAAACTCACTTCAATTACATACTAAGGGGGGGGGGGGCAAAAATTCAAGCGAGTTTGGTGCTGTGATCCCAACCACTTTTTTTTATGTTCTTTATGTATTTTAACCTCAATATATCTTGAATTCTTGAAGATATCAATTTTTTCTCTGTCCTTCAAGTTTGAGATAACGAGGTTTGACTCTATATGAAAGACTTAATATATAACATCAGTATGTAACATAACTTTCTAATAGAGTCTTCAATACCTTATATCGATGTTTCTTTCTTGTTAGTCTACCTTTGCTGATTAATTTTTATCTTTAGCAAAATTCATACACCATGAGAAACTTAAAACATATTCAAAGTCCATTAGGTAGACTTACGTTGTCATAGATAAGCAATAATGTACTAAATAGCTACATATATAGTAGTGTTTGTTTACGTTACACTTCAAATAACACAAACAGGGAAATTGAGAATAATATGCGACTACATGCACTATAATAGTAAATACATGTATCAGTTGTTCCGATTATCAAGTAAATTAAATTATATCTTAAAAACAAAAAAACAAAAAAAAGAAAGAAAGACCTATTGGGGTGTATGTTCAGTTGAAATGAAGTCTAGTGAACAATGTGTAGTGCCTTAGTATGGAATGTCTGAGATTGATCCAACTCATAAACAGCAATCTCACCAAGTTAATCTTTCATGTTTAATACAGGCAGACCCAATCTATTTATAGATATGTAATTACCTGAAAAATGAAAAAAATAATGAAAGCTGTCCGGCTAATAACTGAATGCATACCATGTTGGAATTTGACTACCAAGTAATAACCTTCACATTCCATCTTAGTGGTGGATCAATCTGAGATGTTAATTTTTCTGTCTTTTATCACTCAATAATCCAAATCAATCCCAAAGAATGAAGTTTAACACAGCAAAATTAACTTATTTTATCCCCCTTTTCCACATCCTCAATTATCACTGCCAGCCATTGAGCCATCAATATGGTTGGAATGGGTTGTCATCACTGGTTTTAATGCACAATTTTTTTTCATTTTTTTTCCCAATCAAAATCCATAATGACATTTGATTTGGCTGCAGGTATCAAAGTGCACAGAACGTAACTTTTATACTCCGTGATTGTCTCTTGCTGGGTCCTATCTCAATGTAATACTCCCAGTCTCATTCCTAACATTTGACAAGTTACTTGTCAACTTAAAACCAAAATCATGATAAATTTCAATGAACTTTATGCTTCCACTGAAACAAATCATGACCAGATAAACCTGATCAACCTAGTCAAATTTTACGACTCCATGAAAAAAAGTACATCCTTAGGTCTAAAATTCATCATGTCTAAATCTAAACAATGATAAATTTAATGAGGCAAGAAAATATTGCATGAATGGGATTCATAAAATAAGTGTACATTCACCCAGTCTTATTGGCCACATGTCACAGTTTCATTGTTGTGATATTTAAATGTCTGGGCTGAATCTTCACAAATATTACTCGCATTCTGTAGCCGTCCTCTTACTACGCCCTTAAAAAAATCTGAAAAAAGAAAACAATCCCGCTTCTCCTGAATTATGATTACACTCTGTGTCTACAAATAAGGTGTAATTTTTAAATGTCCACAATCTTCCTTTAACCATGACGTGAGGTACACATAGAAAAATCTGGCAAAGTTCCTGAAACTTCACTGTTTTATACAATGTCCGTGCACTTCAGTGTGTAAAACAAAACTAGGTAATAAAAGACGATTTAAAACATAGTAAGTGCCTGAAATCAGTTCCTGATCACTGAATTCACTACATTCATAATGGAGGAATTAAAATATGTTAATGTTTTATAAGTCAGCCAATTGCCTACTGCAATTTCCTTCTCAAGATAAAGAAAATATCTCACACAAGAAATTTGGACAAAAAAAAAATTGAATCAACTTCAAAAGTTTTTTCCTCTGTGAAATCAAATCAGCCCAAAATTTCTCCTGTCTTACAAAGCTCTACATGTAATTTTGCACTTCTTTTTCTAATCATTCTAGATGAATGTGTATCTTGTAAAAGTCATCTCCTCAAATTCATTAATTAGGGAATTAAAAACAAGCTATGTATCTTCTTCAATCAGTTAACAAGGAGTTTATCAGGTGCACCAGTCTAATAAGATAAAGCTAACAGAATCAATCAAAGAAATTAAGACAATCCACAACTTCTAGGCATCATTTCCCAGAAACTCTGATAATCCCTGATTTTGAAGAGCTCAAAAATTCTCCATGCTAGTTAGCTATATCTGTAAGGCTGATTGCAGTTCATTAAAGATGCTACATTGCAAAGAATTGCACTATGATAAATGTTTCCACTTTCTCAAAGAATTACTAAAAAAATTTGGGTAGCCAAAATTGTATTGAAAGCTACTTTTTGTGAAAAGATGCTTGACCTATGTATGATGATTAATAAGGCCTGTTACCTGGGTTCTACCTGCATATGACCTTACGACATTTACCTGTTGGAGTTACCAGTACATGTATGTTTATTTACATTCCATATTTGTTTTTCTTCTACAAATTCCTCAATGAAAAAAAACTTATGTCACATGTGAATGAAAACTGAAAAAAAAGTTAAATGATAAATGGATGAAATGTAAATAAATATACATTATTATAACAGTAACTTGATCCGAAGAGTCGTATCACGTCGAGTTGACAGGCGCGGATCATCAGATCAAACGAGACGCGAAGCGTCGAGTTTAATCTGATGATCCGCGCCTGTCAACGAGACGTGATACGGCTCTTCAGATCAAGTTACTGTTATAATGATAAATTTATTATATACCCCCCTTACAACTAGCAAAATATAGTTTTAAAAAAACTTTTGAGATCAATGATATAAGATTTTTCCATTGAACAAAGCATATTGTCAAGGAACTTTTTGATGCGCATGAAAAATAACGTCATGTTTCTGTGTACTACGTCATCAATTCCAGAGAGGGGCGATATGGATTCAGAAAACCACAGTGTGGTGATCCGGAAAGCCGGATCACACCGTCACGTGATTGTACGAAATCTACAGTAAAATTGAGTGATACACACTTGGGTATATAATAAAAGCAATTATCATTGTGATGCAGTGTGCCATAAATCATAAGTGTGCATGTTTACAGGTTGTTTGTACTAACAGTCTGACCTTCTCTGACAGACAAGTGGTGATATTGTTTACAGTCTGATCTTTACAGACAGACAAATGGTGATATTGTTTACAGTCTGACCTTTACTGACAGACAAGTGGTGATATTGTTTACATTCTGATCTTTACTGACAGACAAGTGGTAATATTGTTTACAGTCTGACCTTTACTGACAGACAAGTGGTGTTACTGTTTAAAGTCTGATGTTGGCTTACATTTTTAAAATACATGAACTTCTGCTTAAGGAATATTAATAAATATCCATCACAGTCATGTTAAAACAAGATAGAATTCTGACTAATCCATTCAATTAAATAAAAAAAGAAAAAATTTCACCGTATGAAGTATACATTAGACATGTACATACTCTGTAAGTATATATCATTGCATATATACATATATATCATGTACCAGGATAGATATATTTTTTAATACAAATAATTCTGTTTAAAACAAACACTGAAGAATAAAAATTAGTTAAGAAATGAAAAGTAATCCAGTTTCCAGAATATAGAACCAATACTGCCTTTTATTATAATTTAATATGCTCCTACTGAGACTGATTATAAAATGTGTAGTAATTATCATTATAAACAAATTCTACATTACCACTGATAATAAGGTCATCATGGATAGCTGGAAAAGCATTATAAAGTGTAGCTAGCCGTACCCTCACAGTAAAACTATTTTGTTTTTGAATCTTTTACAGTAAACCCTGGTTATAGAATTTCTCTCAGACTCGAGTTTACTGCTGAGGATAATCTTTGTTCTCTATCATAGTACAAATAAAATTTGTCTTGCTTATTTATTCATTTTTTTCAATTCTATTTTTTTGTAAAACTGCTTATTAATTTCATTTACTTTCATTTTCCAAAAACTTCTGATCTACCCAACTTGCATAGATCTACAAGATCATTGTCTTCATTACTTTCAGTTGTTAGCCTAATTACTTTCTATATCCTACAATCTTGAACACAACATAAACTTTATCTTGTACTTTCACTTTTCTGTAAACTAATTAGCTTATTATAAACTTGGTTTATCTTACTTTCACTTTCCTATAATTTGGCATTCTCTCACTAAAGGGCACACTACGCAAGCTTCACTTACACCTATTATCATCTTAATAACAAAAATGTTGTAAAATCAGAAAATGGTAACGTTTTATTTTTAAAAAATTTACCAGAATGAACAATAATGATTCTTTTCCTAATCAACTTGATACTTTTGTTCATCTTCAAAATATACACTAAAAATACCAATACCGTATAAGCAGAATTTTTAAGCAAGGATTCAATTTTGGCATTATTAGCAAGGGTTTTGGGATTGCTAAAATTGAATATCGCTAACAATTTACCTCATATAGGTTGTTATAACTATCTTTCTTGAGATTATTAAATCGCTAAAATTAGTCCTCGCTAAAAATATATATACTTTTTTTTTTTTTTTTTTTTTTTTTTTGATAAATGGCTAAATTTGTGTCTCGCTAAAATTTCCACTTATATGGTATACCAGCATTTTTTTTCCTTATATAACTGGTACCTATAAACGGTACCATTCCCAATGCCAAAAAATGTTAATTTTTCCCAATTTTGAGACTACAAATTCCCAATTCCGCTGCCAAGCAACAGACTACGATGACATCGTATTTTTTTTTATATGAAACAATGTCCAAGTTGACTAATTGTTTTACTTCCGCTTAAATCGAAAGTAGAGACTAGTCGTAATATGGCGGGACCTGTTGTGTAGACAGCGTAGGGTCATACATTTTGACAAATTGAAAGCATGAAAATGTGAAAACAAGGGACATTGATATGAAAAATAATAAATACTTGTTTATTCTTTAAAACATTGAGTAATAGGTAATGAGGTTGAAATAAACGCAAAATATGTTTCATTTGTTTAAAAGACAGAAAATTCTCCTTTGTTCTACTTCAATGCTATTTTTCCCAATTGAACCGGCACCGGACCCTTTCCCAAAGGGTAGAAAAAAATCGCTGTATAAAGTGTGTGGAACTATAGTTTCTAAGCCTGCAGGGTCTACTTTAGAGACAACACAATGGGTGTTAGGGAAGCTTGCATAGCACCCTCTGGTAGAGATTGCAGATTTGGATTAGTTAACTTTCACTTTTCCTTGATTTCTTTTACTTTCACTTTTCTAAAAACTGCTTCTTTTTTTCCTGAACTTACTGCCTTATTGTCCTTTTTATAGCCAATTGGTTTATCTCCATCCAGCACATTAAGGGCCGGCTCGCTTCCATGTCGTACTGTCAATGATGACCCTATAAATGAAAATACACACTTAATTACACAAGTCAAACTGAAAATCAAGAGGGGTTTAACTTTATTCATTTCTTTAATTTTTAAAACAAGCTGCTTAATATGGATGCTGTTTTTAATCCTAAACTGACAGACTATAGCTTCTGAATCAGTGTGTTCTCTTAGCAAGGATACAAAATTATTCACATTAATATAAAAACTGACCATGTGTCTCTATGTCCTGTGAGGTGACCACTACATCATGTTCGTTGCTGGGCTGGAATACAGAGATAGTCTTGGATGATGGAAACTGACCAGTTGTCTCCCCTCCCTGGAAAATGTCCGGGCTGGCTGTTCCGGCTGAGCTCTGACTTGCCCCGTCCCCATTATGTGGCTGGTACGTTTGACCCCCTTGTTCCTCATAATCAGCTATCAACTGAAGACAAAGACAGAAAAGTTAACTAACATCTAGACATGACATTGCTTGTAGGAAGAAAAGTTAGCATATTGACAATTATCTACCTAGTGAAAAAACGGAAATCTTTAAAAAAAAAAATTCAGCAGGGTTTATTTCAATGAGGCAGGCAGCAATTCCAAACAAATAAATTATTCTATTTTGGCCTACCAGTAGACTGTATAATATATCGTAGAAGTTCATGAACAGAAAAGATGAAGCATATATAAATTTACCATGCTGCTAACATACCTGTTCTCGATCATCGACGACATCATTCAGTTGGTCATCTGGGTCTAAGATTCCGCCGTCGTTAATTGTACGTAGATTGTGAACAGATACCCAGTGGTCCAAAGACTACAAAGGATACAAACAGGACTTATTATTCAAAGACAACACTGCCAGCAGTCTTTGTTGATCTAGGAAATTTGACAGAATTAATGATTTATTTCTCCTGATGGATTTTCATAAATAAGCTACAAATATTTCTGCTAATTAAAAAATTAACCTGTTGTGAACAATTATCAACAAAATATACCACTTTGGGGGAATTTTTTAGATCATTTTTAGAAATATAATTTTGTTTTTATTTCCTTCAAAATATATATATGGCCAAAATAAATGGGAAAAAATGTACCAGTTTTAACTATAAAATACAATCCATTTGACATAAAACTCTGTTGTTTAAGTGCTCTGTTGTTCTTCAAAAACTGTTTCTTGAGTATATATTAAGTCATTTTTAAAAATTTACAAATCAATATTCATCTTTATTCATCAATTTATTTTTTTGACCTTTGAAGATCAGAGTTAATTCCATAAAAGGAACCCAGACAGCAAATGTACATCCACTGGCATGCACACAGCACAAAAGACTTCTTCATATTAATTGCTTATACATGTATTTTGCATATTGTTTGCATACATGTCTGAAATGTTTCGTTTCATTTATTTTCTGAAATATGTAACAGGATGTCCTCTTTTTTTTTTTTTTCCCTCAGATTTTAAAGTGAAAGATGCCTATTTCATAAGATGTGAATTCATTTCAGCAAAAACTAATTCTTAAATGTTCATCACTCTTAGACAAAAATGAATCTTAATGCATTCATGACCTATTATGTAAAAATGTTGAGAATTAAGGAGTAAATATACTCAGTGAATTATGCTAAATTTGATCATTCTAAATACATCAGAAGGAATTATACTTGTTTTCTTAGATTATTGCTTGTTTAACATGCCATTGGGTAAACATCAGAAGCTGATTCATGATCCCAACTCAAATTGTAAAAAAAAAAGTATTAGAATGGTAGAATATAGTAAAACAGTCTAGTTTTAAGACTAAGAGTTTTATAGTGTTGTGCCTTCAAATAGTAACAATTTACATGCATTGAATTAAAATGACTGATCACAGGTACACCTCTCCATTAATTTACTGTAACACTAATAAAATAAATATACATCATCCACACAAAAATAATGAGAAACTGAAGGTGGATTTAAGAGAAAATGCACTCAGACCTCTTCATTCCTTCACAACAATAAGTGCCTTAAAATGGTCCCTTAATCCAATGGGGCTTTTGGGTCAATACTTTTCAAATATAGGGAAGTACTCAGTACATTACTCCTTACATAATTACAACTCTTGCACAGTTTTTCCCCAGCAAACCTTTTATGCATTAGTCATTTAGTGTAAGTGTTTTAAAGAAAATGTTTTACAAGCACAAGGCAAGGGGAGAAACTCTTACTCTCCATATGCTACAGTCCTGTATGAATTTTAAATGAGATGGCATTAAGTGTTAAGACATGTGACATTCCCCTGATTAAAACTAAAATGTCAAACATAAGTAATGCCTTGGAGTCTGGTATTTGCTTTTAAAGATTGCATTCAGTGTGATATAGATAAAACTACACACATAGCCCTCACTTCTGTGTGTACATTATAATCTGATGTTAACTGTACACCTGTAATATACCTGCACTCAAATTACCTGTCCAAAGCAGAGATGATATATCTTTAAAATTTAACAACATAAATTAATGTATAACCTGACAAATCAGGTCAGATGTAGACCTTCTGTTGAATGCATGACTCTGAATTTACAAATGATACTTCACTAAGTTGGGTCACTAAGGGTGTGACTATCCATGTTATATTCTTGACTCCATTTCCTGATACTTAACGAAAAAAAAAAAATCATGCGAACCCTGCTTGAATATTTTAGAAATGTAACAAACCTCAGTTGCCATGGTTTTGTGTACAAACATCCCCCAAGAATAATGGCCCTGAATGGTTCTTACAGACTACACCATATCAAGGTACACACTGTACTTAATATCCTGCATAGGACAAAAACTTTTACCCACCGAGATATGAAAAATATATCTGGCAGAGGAAAATGATAGCAGCTTGAAGAAGTGTAGATAAGTGTGAAAAATGAGACGGTCTTTAATTCTGTTTTGTATAATAGTACTAATACATAGGTAACAATCTGGAGCAAATGTCAGCTTTTTTTCCCCTAAATAAAAGGTAAGCTTAAAAAAAATTTACCTCTATGAGAAGCATTACATGTATATAATATATATATATATATATATATATATATATATATATATATATATATATATATATATATATATATATATATATATATAAAAATATATATATATAAATAATTATATATATATATATATATATATATATATATTTAGGAAATAGATGAATTCATAATTACTCTTTATCATATGTTTCTTAGCAAGAATTCTTTCTAGTTCCCAATAAACAAGCTTAACTTACCGGTACTGTTAATTAAAATGGCATAAGCTTTTTGTAAAAAAGCCATCATAATAAATCATCATTTCTCAAGTTGATCAACTATATTTGATATACAAACTGTCAAACAAAGAGATCAATGGAGATAGATGTAACTCTGGCCTTGTAATCTAAAACAGACTGACGGACAAACGTGTATACATTCTAATCCATAGTCATCTGAAGCCTAAATCTACAAAATCAATACAAACTGTACACATTGCGCATTAACTAATGATGTGAGCAGGACAGGACTACGCTGTATGCCCCTACATAAACATATTGATGCAAAACTGTAGTTTTGTTGAGTGTGTGTTATTAATGGGGGAGGGGCAATCTTGTTGGTGATTTCTTCACACCTCTTTCACATTCATCTTCAATAAATAATTTGTAAAACAGGTTCCTTAACAAAATTTAACTTACGGATTTTCAAATTTAACCATTATCATTCTACCATGTGTCTATTGAAACTTCTATTGATTTAATATAACAATAACTGTACAAAATTATTTATCTCATTAGTTAATTGGGTGAAAGATGGTTCAAGCCCAAATTAACAATCAGAAATGATGATTGATGGATCAAACTTAATTTTTTTTTTAATTATGAAAATTCTTTCTCGTGAAATGTCCTCAGCTGGTAATTATTTACTTATTTTCCTTTTAATTTTTTTTTTTAATTTTAAAGAACTTTTCATGAATTCAAATCAGAAAATATTATATGACTGGAATATGGAAAAGCTATAAAACAGATGGACAAATGGATGGAAAACACCATATTATAATACAGCCCATCCAAAGATGGACACATGATAAGCATTAGCTTCAAATAATAGCTGTCATATAAAACTTCACTGGAAAGGTATGAAAAAATGAAAATTAGTACAAAATGAAACATGATCACAAAAGCATACATAGGACTTTTACTTGGTGTAAATGTGTTAACTCTGGTTAACTCCTATAACATGTATAAAGTCCTATTATCAAGAAATCAAATGTCAAATATCATGAATATCTACTAGGTCGTTGTTATCTATATGTAATTGACTTCTCTGCCCTGGGAAATTCTAACAAAAACCTCAGGAGATCAAGTTCTAGGGGGAAGTGGCATCCCACCTATTTTTTGTTGTTTAACACTCATTATCATGATTATTATCATAAACTATATAAACAGGAAATCTTTTTTTATTAACTTGTACAGAGGTAAATCTATGTCAAACATAATCATGCATTCTTTGAGATAAAAAAATTCCAGTCTGCTTATTAACCACAAAACATCAACAATAGGTTTAATCCAATAACTGACAAAGTAATTGTAATACATGGGCATTAATCCCAGTGGATTTCCATGGGATTATCCTTTCTAATCCCATTACTTGGTGTTTAAACTAAACCAATCACCTATTGATTCTCACATAAATCCTATTTACAAAGGGAAATCACTCCCCAAAAGGCTGGTTTTATCTCCCTTTTCTATTTTGGAAGAGATCAATTTACTCTGATATTTACATCTAAATTAAAAAAAAAAAAAGAAAGAAAAAAGAAAAAGATTTTAAATATTATTTCTGAGAAGGGACATTAAAATGAAACACTGAGAAGATTTCATTTTCACATACTTAATATATGTACATGTACTTTTTTCCCAAATGTATTAATTTATGCTACGTACGCAGTCACAGTTTCTGCAGAAATTTTTCCCCAGTGTACTTTGGTACACTTAAGATATAAAGTGTCAATCTAAGAAATCTGTGTACTTCTACCTGCAGATTAAGCAGAAATTGTGATTCCGTGAAATTATGACCCCGTGGAAAAAAGTATATTTACAATATTTCTTTGAAAACTAAATTTATCAAGCTGGTTCTTATCCAAATAAGTAGAATCATTGTCCACACCTGTCTGTGACAATCTGTAGATGTGGGTGAAGTGATCATGTGTAATAAGCCATTCAAATTAAAAATTGTCAGATTCTTCTTCCTCTGGCAAGTTTGTTGAAGTTAATTTTATGCCCTTAATTAAGAAAACAAAATTTCAAGGTACACGGATAATCTATAATATTTTTTTCAACAATTAATGCAAGTCCCTTCCCAGATATTACCAACCTGAGAATACACCAAAGAAAACAAGAAAAACCTAGCTTCTCTAAAAAAAAAAATTGTGAAACCTGCATGAAGGTGGGGTCACTCATGTCCTATTAAAGGTCAAAAGGTCATGTTAGCTTTGTCCTTCAATGCTTATTCAGGACAGAAAAGGCCACTTATCAGAATGAACATGTTCTACACAAACAAGACAAATTTATAGCCCTTTGTGTGAAACTGTGCTGAGCTATTCACTGAAATGAAAACTGCATGGGTCAGTTTCACTGGTCAACTACACAAAGAACAGTTTACCCCTATTCAACAGGTTAGCTTTTCAATATATCTCCTAGCTATACTTCTACTCTGCAGTGGACTGCAGTAGATGGTAAATACATACTGACAGGGTATATTCCCTTGAGTCAATGTTGGTGTACTATTTACTTTATGAACTGGTCAATGGGACCTCAATAAAGGAGT